CCAGGTCCAAGGCTGTTCCAGGGGTGAGATAAGACAGAACCTGGGGGGGTGGGGAACTGGAGCACAGCGGGTAGGGCGTTTGCCTTGCACACGGCCGACCTGGGTTCGATTCCCAGCATCCCATATGGTTCCCTGAGCACTGCCAGGGGTAATTCCTGAGTGCAGAGCCAGGAGTAACCCCTGTGCATTGCCAGGTGTCACCCCAAAAGCAATAAATAAATAAATAAATAAAACAAAAAGAGATAGAACCTGGGGGCCCCAATGCAGTTTCCCAGGGTCTCAGTTCTCAGAGGCCACTACAGGGACTCCTCCAAGGTTCCCCCCCAATGCCAGCTGAACTCCCACCCAGCTCTCAATGGAGCTGACCAAGGGAGGCTGAGGGAGCAATGCTGTCCCCCCTACTGACCCCCTGGCTCAGTCCTTCCACCAATTCTTTTTTTTTTTTTTCTTTTTGGATCATACCTGGCTATGCACAGGGGTTTCTCCTGGCTCTGCACTCAGGAATTACTCCTGGCGGTGCTCAGGGAACCATACGGGATCGAACCCAGGCCAGCAGGATGCAAGGCAAACACCCTACCCGCTGTGCTATTGTTCCAGCCCCTTGCCCCAATTCTTAATAAACCCTACTACCTTGCCGCACTAGTTTGGAAAGTTCTAGAAGCAGGAACTGGGCTGTGCCAGCAGCTTCTGCTCCATGGAGAGATTTACACCGGTTTCTTTTCTACCTTTTGGAATTAGAACTAATCCAAGTCCAGGAAACACTCTGTGCTCAGAGGAAAAAATGGTTGTTTCAGGAGGCCTCTGTGCTGAGCCTCACCTTGTCCCTGGGAGAGTCCCAAGCAGGTTCAGCTCTAGCAGCTGCTGAAGTCCTGGACAGAAATTTCCTCGGGGCTCACTGGAGGGGGGTCTGCAGCGGGGTGGGAGAAAGAAGGGAAGCAGATGTGGGCCTGAGCAGGTAGGGCCTTGCTCACATGTGTCTGAGCCGGGTTCTATCCCTGGCACCCCATATGGTCCCCCTGAGCACCATTAGGAGTGATCCCTGAGTGCTGAGTAAACCCTGAGCACCACTGGGTGTGACCCAAAAATGAAATAAAGGAAAACAAAAGGAAGGAAGCAAGCAAGGAAGGAAGGGAGGCAGGCAGGAAGGGAGGGAAGGAAATGAAAGAAAAGAAATGGGGGGGGGGGGCTGGAGCGATAGCACAGCAGGTAGGGCCTTGCACACGGATTCGATTCCCAGCATCTCATATGGTCCCCCGAGCACCGCCAGGAGTAATTCCTGAGTGCATGAACCAAGAGTAACCCCTGTGCATCGCCGGATGTGACCCAAAAAGAAAAAAAGAAAGAAAGAAAAAGAAAAGAAATGGGGAGAGAAATGGGGGAGGCCTAGGAGATGCTTAGCAGCAAAGGGATGGGGGTACAGAGCTATTAATAATGATGATAACAGGGGGCTGGAGAGATAGTACAGTGGGTAGAGTGCCTGCCTTGCATATGACTGACCCAGTGACTTGGGTTTGATTCCTGGCACCCCATACAGTCCCCCCAAACTTGCCAGGAGTGATGCCAGGAGTATTCTTGAGCACTATTGGGAGAAGAAGAAGCAAGAAGAAAAAAGAAGGAGGAGAAGGAGAAGGAGGAGAAGTGATTAATGTCTGTTTCTTTTCTCTGTTTTTGAGCCTCACCTGGTGGCACTCAGGGGCAGCGCCCAACTCTGTCTTTGGGCATCTGGCCAGCTGACCCTGGGCCTCCCCAAGTAAAGAGGCACTCCAGCTGGCTGAGTCACGAGCCCCAAGAGGAAAATTTAATAAAGAAGAGAGAAATGCCGCCCAGAGAGGGGAGCCTCTTGCCCAAAGTTTTCCAGCTGACATAGGAGGCATCTTCCTACCAAGCCTTGCTGTGTGCTGTGTGACCCCAGTCCAGTCGCTTCCCTTCCCTGAGCCTTACTTTACAAAATGAGTCAGTCTGTTGGCAAAACACTTCCAAGTCACCACACTAGATCTTACAGTTCTGAGAGAATAGCTTGAGGCAAAGAAAAACACCCACTTGCCCCCACTTCCCCTAACTTATTGCTTCCATCAACACACCAAGGACCACAGACAGAAGCTGATGGCTGATCATCCCATTCTCTCGAGTCACAACCATGCAGGTGATGGTCACCCACAAGTTAGAAATAAAGGGGTTCCAATGGGGGCCCCATGGTAGAGTCTCAGTCTGAGAGGTTCCACAGGTATCCCAAACCTCTGGAGAGTGGGGGAGGGATTGAGGCATCTCAGAGGAAGTGGAAGTGGAACAGGGGGGTGCCCACTCACGGCAGCCAGCATTGTTGATCACATGGGCCAAAAGGAGGGTCTGGGGACAAAGAGGCCCCGTAAGGCTTGGATGGGTCAAAACTCCTGAAAATGAGGCTCATATCCCAACGGAGAAGACGAGAGGTAGCAGCAGTGGCATCAGTCAGGGTGCAGGGAAGAGCAAAGAGGATGCCTGGGGTTGGTTAGAGTCACAGGGACAGGGCTTGGGGAGGGGACAGATATGAACGGTGGAGGGCTGGAGTGATAGCACAGCAGGTAGGGAGTTTGCCTTGCACGTGGCCTACCCGGGTTCGATTCCCAGCATCCCATATGGTCCCCCGAGCACCGCCAGGAGTAATTTTTGAGTGCAAAGCCCCTGTGCATTGCCGGGTGTGACCCAAAACGCAAAAAAAAAAAAAAAAGGATATGAAAGAGGGACAGAGCAGAGACTAAACCAAGGGAGGGTCTCAGCGTGGGAAGGTGTGTCTCATGAAAGGGACCCCTTTGAGGAACTGATGTTTTGGTTTTTGTTGTTTTGTTTTTGCCACATCCAGAGGTGCTCAGTGCTGACCACTGGCTCTGTGCTCAGGGATCATTCCTGGTAAGGCTTGGGATACGGGATGCCAAGAATGGAACCAGGGTTGGCCACGTGCAAGGCAAGCACCCTCCTTGATGTACCCTCCTCGATCCAGCCAGGAACTGATTGTTATTGATGAATATTTGAAGTTTGGGCCTTACTCAGGGTTACTCCTGACTCTGTGCCTCCATGATTCCTCTAGTGTTCAGGGGGTCATGCAGAGCCAGGGATAGAGTCCAACCTTTGGCAAACAAAGCGTATACCCCAGCCGCCTATCATTGGTGGTGAGGCCTTTCAAGTGGTGCCCAGAACTTCTCCCAGCAGTGCCCAGCCAACAGGCAGCAGTTGCATGCAAAGCCTGAGGATTTGGTTCTGGCCCGAACCTGGGGTACTGGGGGCCAACAGCTATGCCAAGCAACACTTGGGGGCCATGCGGTGCTGGGGATCAAAGCAACTGGGCCTCACACAAGGCCAGACTCTAACCCCAGCCTCTACACTATCCCAGAAGGGGAGAGAATGTTCTGGGTACCAGCAGGACCAAGGAAGCCTGGCAGAGTGATCCAGTGACACATTGGGAACCAGGATCACTAGAGAAGAGGGAAAGGAGGAAGTGACAGCATGTGCAAAAGTCAAGAGGATAAGAAATCTGAAGCAGACAGAGGGGAGCACCAGAGGGGAACACCACAGAGCAAGACAGAAGCTCCCTCACCTTCACGTCTTCCTCCTGAGTGACATCACGGCGCAGAAAGATGATTCTGGGGAGTTTTTGCTCCAGTGCCCAGTACCCAACTCTGCAGGAGAGATGGGCTGGGGTCTGGGCTGCTAGGTCTGAGGGAGGGGCAGAGGGTTTGATGAAGGAGGAGCAGGGAGTCTGGGGAGGAGGGGCAGAGAATCTGAGAGAGGAGGGGCAGAGAATCTGAGGGAGGAGGGGCAGAGAATCTGAGGGAAATGTGCTAGAAGGTCTAAGAGGAAGAGTAGGAGGTCAGAGGGAGGAGGAATTGGGCTGAGGGAGGAGGGCAGAAGGTCTGAAAGGAGAGGCTTGAGGCCTGAGGGGGGGGAGGAAATCTGAGGGAGGAGGGGAGGAGGTCTGAGGGAGGAGGAATTGGGGGTCTGAGGGAGGGGAGTAGGCTGAGGAAGGAGGGGTTGGGGTTCGCACTCTGGTCAAAGTGGGGAGGGTCAGGATATCTGAAGGGTCACTCACGTTCTTGTTCCAAATCACCACCCGGCTCCGCTTTCCACTGAGGAGAGGTTACGGGTTCTCACGAGGGTCTCGCTGCCCTCTTGTGGCCACCTGGAGCACGGCCTCAAGGTTCCTCTCCTCCCCCTCGAGACCCAAAGTGTCATGTGGGTCCCCCGACACAAAGGGCAAGAGGCAATAACGCCTGTTCCCCGAGGCTCCCCAGGATGCAGCCCGTGGCTCAGGGTCACCCCCACAGTGGAACTGCCATTCCCACACCACTCCTGTGGAAGCTTTAATAAGACCCTGGGGGGCGCCCGCCAAAGCTGGGAGGGCCCCCGCGGCGCACCTCCTCATGCCCGCTGAGCCTCGTGCCTCCGGAGGCCGAGTTCCCACCCGCCCCGTGTCCCCGTCTACCGAAGAAGCCCCGAAACCCGCCCCCCCCCGTCACTACCCCACGTCACCCGCATAGCCAGCGCCCGTGGCCATCGAACCGCCTGCCCTTGCGCCCCACTGCCCCAACCCCGCCACCTCCAGAGTCCGAGGAGGCCGCGGGATAGTCGAACCATTAACAAGGGCCCCTTTATGGAACCCCATAAATAGGGGCTGGACTCTGAAAGCCCGGCCCTAGGAGGCGTTACCAGTTTGGCATCCCCATCTCCCTCGGATCCTTAAGTTCAAGCTCTCAGTCTTCCTCCATCGGACCCAGATCCCGGATCCCAGAAGCCACCTCCCTCACACCCAGACAGCCAGGCCCTCAGCCACGACCTCCTGGGGATTCCATTCCTTCCTCCCAGGGTCCCCCCAAAGCATGTAATCCCAAAGTCAGCGCTGTCCCTCCTAGTACCCACTTCCCCGTCATCACCCCAGAGAGAAAGACAGTGATGGGCTAAAAAGTTCAGTTTTAATCCAAATTTGGACAGACGTAGGGCAAGGCAAGCTTTGGTTACCGAAACCTGGCCCTTCCAGGAGGTGAGTAGGGGCTGCGAGTGGGGACCCCCTGGGACAGCGCGCGAGCAGAACCTGCCAGAGGCACAGCCAGACCACGCCCCCTGGGGGCCTTGGGCTCCTATTGGCTGCTCAGAAGCTGGACTGTAGCAGAGTGACACGCAAAGGCCACGCCCCCTCGCCCTGGGTCCGCGCCGCGGGCGTGGACACCGAGTCCCACGTGGGCTCCCAGGAAGCAGGGCCTGAGCCGCGCCCACTCCCCCGACGGGAGAAGCCAGAGCCAGAGCCGGAACTGGCCACTGCAGGTGATCTTGGGGGCGACGTCACCTGAGTTGTTTGGTCCGATGGTGGCGGCGGCGCAGGTGGGAGAGGGTCACCTCGGGAGTCCATTTTTCCACCTGGGGTGAACGAGGACGCACCCTTAAGGACGGGGAATTCGCACCTTGGGTCGTTATTCTTAGGATCGAACGCCCCATCTCCTCCTCCTCCAGACCCAGGAGTCCTCGACTCCGATATCCTGTCTAAGATCGAGAATCCCCAAATCCTGGCCAGGGTTTTTTTTCTCCTCAAAGGATTCCCGGGTCTGGAGGGATAATACGGAGGGTAGGGCGTTTGCCTTGCACAAGGCCGACCTGGGTTCGATCTCCCGCATCCCCTATGGTCTGCTGAGCATCTCAAGAAGTAATTCCTGAGCGCAGAGGAAGGAAGAAAGGAGGGAGGGAAGCCCAGAAAGGATTTCCTAAAAAGCCTAGGACTCCCTTATCCCTAAAACCCAGAATCCCGAGGAAGGTTTCCAGCCCTTGCTCACCTGTCATCATTCGGTGCCACTGCGACGCCTCCGTGGCCAGGGCTTGAGAGAGGCTAAGCACCCTCTCACGGTGACCTTCAGATGTTGGCAAATAGGGGGTGCAGTTCTTAGAACTAGAAAAAAAGAGGAGGATGGGGGGATCCCTTCAGCTCCTTGTGATGGTAGCAATGCCCCCGGTGGCCTTCTGGGAGTTGTAGTCCTTAACACATGCCCCAGTAAGATTTTAAATAAGGCGGCCTTGTTTAAATGAAATGTTTAATGTTTAAATAAAATGTTTAAATGTTGAAGTGAAACATGCCTGGTGCATTACAGGCTTTATATTCCAATAGCCAGTGGGCTTCTCACTGCTTCTGGGCCCAGGCAGATTGGGGAGATGCACTGTTCACAAGTTCTTGTACCCCAGAACTTAAGCATTTCTAAGGCTCTGCGATTAGGTCTTCACCCCTCAGGAACACTTAATAATAATAACAACAACAATAATGATAATGATGATGATGTTCAGAGTGATAGCACAGCAGTAGGGTGTTTGCCTTGTGCGCAGCCAGCCGGGCTGAGCTGGTTCGATTCCTCCGCCCCTCTCGGAGAGCCCCGCAAGCTACCGAGAGTATCTCGCCCAAGTGGCAATGCCAAACACAGTAACAACTGTGTCTCAAAATGGAGAGTTACTGGCCCTCTTGAGCAAAATCGATGAACAACGGGAGGACAGTGTTTGTTTGTTTTGTTTTTGATGATGATGCTAGTGGGGCTGGAGAAATAGCATAGCTGGCCGACATTTGCCTGGCATGCGGCTCTGGCATCCTCTATGATCCCCTGAGCACCACTAGGAGTGATCCCTGGTTGCAGTAACTTCGGAGCATCGCCAGGTTGTGGCATCCAAAATAATTAAAAAAAAAAAAAGTAAATACTATTGCACAGAGCCAGTCCTGCAGTTCCTTACCTGCTCCAGGACCCTGAGCTTCTGAGCCATTTCTGGACTCCTGAATGTCCTGGGATGGGCTGCAAAGGAATTGGGGTGTCAAGAATTTGCCACACACACAAAAAAGAATTTGCCACAGGGGTGGGGGGGTGGCAGAAGGGAAACATTTGTGGTAGGAATGTGCACTGGTGGAGGGATGGGTGTTGAAACATTGTATGACTAAAACAGACCAACCATGAACAGCTTTGTAACTGTTTTTCTCACAGTAATAAGGAAGAAGGAGGGAGAAGGGAGAAGAAGTAGTAGGAGGTGGAAGAAGAGGAGAAGAGGAGGAGGAGAAGGAGGAGGAGAAGAAGAAGAAAAGATTTTGCTTTTTGAGGTCACACCCAGCAATGCTCAGGGATTACTCCTAGCTATGCACTCAGGAATTACTGCTGGTGGTGCTCAAGGACCAATATATGTCAGGGATGTGGCTCAGTAGCAGATCACACATCTCACATGCGTGAGGCTCTGGGTTTTGATCCCCAGCACCAACATGACCCCAAAAAAGCACTACCCAATCCTCTTGTCCAAGTACAATATTTTGGTTTTCTGGGAAATGGTTATTGCAAAGAACTCCTCTTCTCCATAGGACCTACACAAGATTCTCAGTGTATCCCCATAATTTACCCTGACAACACAGAAAAGGCCCTCCAAATTCACATTTTGGAGGAGATTGGACCCCACATATGCAGAGCAGATTTTGCTCAGTGGCTACTCCTGGCTCTGTTTTCACGGGGAGAGCCCTGATAGTACTGGGAGACCATCTGTGGGGCCAGAGTTCAAACTGGGATTGGCCACATGCAAGGCAAGGGCTTTTACCCCCTTAATATCTCTTGACCCAAAATTCATATTCTTTATTTCAGAAATCATTCACTGGACTGTTTGGTTGATGTGTGGCCCCCAAACCACCAAGACACAGAAATAAAGGTCAACGATTAGACATTCCTCTGGCAGAAAAGAATCCTGACTGATGGATGGGGCCAGAGCGATAGTACAGCAGGTAGGGCGTTTGCCTTGCATGCAGCCGACCTGGGTTCGATTCCTGGCATCCCATATCCCATATGGTCCCCTGAGCACCACCAGGGATAATTCCTGAGTACAGAGCCAGGAGTTACCCCTGAGTATATCTGGGTGTGACCCAAAAAGGCAAAAAAAGAAAAAAAAAGAATCTTGACCTGTGGACTAGAGAAAGGTCCAAGGCCTGGATTTAACCCTCATACTGAGGGTCCCGCTAGCACTTGGGAGTGAACCCTGAGCAAGGAGGTGGGGAGTAGCTGGGGAGTAGTGCCACTAGGTGTGGTCTCCAAACCAAAATAAACAAGTCAATAAAGGAAGCCCAACCTTCAAATCATCCCCATCCCCCCACCTCACACCTGTTTAACTCCTTGGGAAAAAAAATAAAAAGTGAAAGCAGGGCTTTCCCCACTGCAATTGCAACTGCAATTGCATGACTAAAAGCAATTCCTTCCTCACTCCCTTGGTGGCTTTTAAAACTTCCTTTGAAACACTGAAAACCAAAAAGGTGACACTGGGGCCCTTTCCCCTCATTCCCCAGAGAAGGCTGACAGCAGTGCAGAAATAATTTTGGGTGAAGCTGGAAGGCCAGTTCCGGGTATGCTCATTGTTCAGAGAGAGAAAGTGAGGCTCCACCTGGGGGCTGTGGAGCATTCCCCCCCCTCCCGCCCCTCTGCTGTTCTTACCCTTTGTTCCCCATTGGGCTGGCGCAGGGCTGGGGACTGCGTTCTCTCCAGGGTGAGGAGTCCCGGCGAGGCTGAGCAGGGAAGTGACCTGCCACGCTCCTGATTCCTGCGCATTCTCTCCAGCTGCTCCTGAGCGCTCATGCGGGGCCGGCCCAGGGGGCGCTGGGGGAGCAGAACCTGATCCCGGGACCAGTCACAAGGGGGTTCCCCACCCAGCTTAGAACTTTTGGACACTCAGACTTGACCAGGGCTCACATCCCCCCAGGACTCCCTAAAAAGATACATTGGAGGCCCAGGGTGTCCTGGAGTAAGCCCTGAACACTGTCGGGTGTCACCCCCTAAAACAAAAAGGCCCTCCCGTTGATCATCGATTTGCTCGAGCGGGCCCAGTAACGTCTCCATTGGAGACTTTGTTGTTACTGTGTCTGGCATATCGAATACATCACGGGGAGCTTGCCAGGCTCTGCCGTGCGGGCGAGATACTCTCAGTAGCTTGCCGGGCTCTCCGAGAGGGGCGGAAGGAATCGAACTCAGGTTGGCCATGTTGGCTGCGTGCAAGGCAAACACCCTACCCCTGTGCTATCGCTCTAGCCCCTAAAACAAAACAAAACTGAAAAAGCAAGAAAAAATAAAACGACTTCAGGGATAGGGTGGTGAGGTCAGCCAACTGCAACTCCATGAAAAAGGCCATCAGAACACCCTTTGTGTGTGAGGGAGTCAGGCAGAAGGTTTGAGATGTTTATTATGGGTTTTTTTGGGGGGGGGGGTGTTGGAGTTGGAGTATTTGTCTACTTTTGGTTCTGTGCTCAGCAGTGACCCCTAGTGGTGATCAGGGATCATGCAGTTTCCAGCACCGAAGTTGGGTTTGGCTGTGTGCAAAATTCCCCACTAGTCTTCCTGAACAATCTCTGGCTCCTGTTGGGGAAGTTTATAAGGGGCAGTGACAGACTATAATTGACCGGAAGCTCTAGAGCTGGAGAGACACAGGAGTAAAGCGCTGTACCTTGCATGTGGCACTGGAGAGGCGCCCTGATCCCTGCCAAGAGTGATCCCTGAGCATAGGGTGAGGAGTAAGCCCAGACCACTGCTGGGTGTGACTGAAAAACAAAAACAAAGCAAAGGACTGGAGGGGGAGGCTGCCTGGGGGGAAGGACAGGAAACCCTGAGTGGTTTTTGATCGTGAGACAAGTTAGGAACCTGCTCAGACCACTGTCGGGTGAGTTAGGACAGGTCTGGCTGAGGAAAGCAAATTATCTGAAATCATCATCAAAGGCCACGCCTCAAGCTCAGTTCTGATGTGATGATAACCAAGTTCTTTCTTTTCTTCTTCTTCTTTTTTTTTAGATGCTTGGGTCACACCCAGGATTGCTCAGGGCTCTATGCTCAGGAATCACTCCTGGCAGTGACTGGGGGACCAGATGGGATGCCTGGGTGGAACTCTGGAGAGCTGTGTGCAAGGCAAACACTCTCCCCACTGTACTATTCCTCTGGCTCCTGATAATAACTAGTTCTTAAAACTATTACCGATTTGGGGGAGAAAACAGCTCTGTAGTCACATTGGCTCCTAGAAAAATGGTTCCAACAGCAACGAGACAGGAAGGTGCCAAGACTGAAGGACACCAGACCCAACTCTAGGCCATGGCCACAGGTAAGAGGCAGTTGGCAGTCCTGGCAAGGCAGAGTTAGCACCTCTGGAAGGTTTTTGTCCACTTTCCCTGTGGCCTTATTGTGCAAACTTGTAAGACTCCAGAAAAATCTTTTTTGTTGTTTTGGTTTTTGGACCACACACCCAACAGCTTATTCCTGGCTTTGTGCTCAGGAGCAAACCCTGGCCGTGCCAGGAATTGGAACTGGAGTTGTGGCAGATGGGGCTGGAGCAATAATATGGTGGGAAAAGTCTTGTTTTGCACATGACTGACCTGGGTTCGATCCCTGGCACCCCATATGGCTTCTAGAGCCCCAGTAGGGGTGATCCCTGGGCAAGGGGCAAAGGGACAGCCCTGAGCACAGCCGGGTGTGGCCCATAAACAAACAAACAGAAAACAATAACAGGTTGGTTGCAGATGCCACATGCAAAGCAGGACTAGTGCTTTATTCCCTGTGTTAAGGTTCAGGTTAAGGGTGGAGACTTTTAGGTTTTTGGGATTTGTTTTTTTTTTTTTCCTGGGCTTTTTCTTTCTGTGTTATTATTTTTTCTTTTTGGATCACACTTAATAATGGTCAGGGGTTACTCCTAGCTCTGCACTCAGAAATTACTTCTGGAAGTGCTTGGGGGACTATATGGGATGCCAGAGATTAAACCCTGATTGGTTGCATGCAAGGCAAGTGCCAACCTGCTGTACTATCACTCTGGCCTTTTTGTTTTTGGACCACACCCACCCTTGCTCAGGGGCTACTCCGGGCTCTGAGCTCTGGGATAACTCCTGGTCTGGGATCACTCCAGCAGTGCTGGGGGGCCATTAGGACGGGGACTTTTTTTAAATTTTTTGCTTTTTGGGTCACACCCGGAGATGTTCAGGGGTTACTCCTGGCTCTGCACTCAGGAATCACTCCTGGCGGTACTCAGGGGACCATATGAGATGCTGGGAATTGAACCCCAGTCAAGGCAAACGGCCTACCCACTGTGTATCACTCCAGCCCTGGGACAGAGACATCTTAGGAAAGTCACAGACAGCCAAGACTTCCCAGACTGAGAAGGGGATGACCCTAAACAAACCGGGGAGGCCACTTGCCTTGCATCGGCCAACCTGGGTTTGATCCTGGCATCCCATATGGTTCCCCAAGCACCACCAGGAGTGATCTCTCAGTGCAGAGCCTAGAGTGACCCCTGAGCATCTCTGTGTGTGGCCCCAAAACAGATAAACAAACAAACAAAAAGAGGCAAATACACAGGGAAGGCAGGTGACCTATGGGTGACAACTGAAGGATCTTCTATTCTGAGTCCTCCTCAGGCAGCTGGAAATGGTGCCAACAAGAACAGGACAAAGCACAAAGGCGACTGGGTCCCCAGGATTAATTATAGGCAGAACCTCCCACCACCCACCCTCAAATGTTGGCAGACAAAGAAACAGACGACAGCACTGGAGAAGATTCCAGCCATGATGGCCCTGGTGACACGTTCCCTGGTGACACAGGGAGAAAATCCCCCAGGGACAAAATGACAAAATGATACAGCAAGGAAGGCTCTGGCCTTGCATGTTAGTTGACCCCTGGCACCCCAGCCTGGCTTGGGCAATCCCTGGCACTGCTATCTGCCCAGAATAGTCACCTAGAGGGACCCCAGGTTTCCTGAGTACCCAAGATGATACTCCCCACCTTGGGTCACAAGTTCTTGGCTGACCTGTTCTGTTTATCAGTGACCAAATGTTCTAACGTGACTTAGAAGGGAGGGGACACGGCCCAGGGAGGAAGCTTTGAGAAGCAATGGTCCATAAAAATATCCCCACCCCCAGATCCCTTTCCAGCCCTACCCCAGCTGCAACTCCTGGCCTGGGAGTCTCTCACCACCGCTGAACCCCTCCTGCGCCCCACTCCCCAATGATACCTGGGGACTGGGGGGCTGAGAGACTTCGACTGTCCCAGGGTCAGTCATGAAGCTGTATTCAACCTGGGCCTTTTAAGAAAAGCGGGCCCAACGGTTATCCTCTGCTTTGTTTTGTAGGTTTGGGGCCACACCCAGCAGGCCTGGGGGAGTCACTCCCAGTGGTGCTGGGGCTCCCGAGGGTACCCGGTTCAGGTACCGTTTTCCACCACTCAGGGCACTCATGGGAGAAAGGGGGAGCATAGAGCTTTGCACATTTAGCCCACAGTCACAGCTTTGACCAGCAGGGACCAACCTCATGGATCTCACAGATGTGGGGGGTGGGGGGGAGCTTAAGACTTCCCGCCCCCAGCTATTTCTCCTGGAGTCAGGGAGAGATGTGGGCTCAGGTTGGGGACAGGTGGGCTGCCTACCTTGCCTCCTGCCTGTGGGGATGGGGGGTGGTGGCCCTCTGGGCTGGCAGCCGGGGGGACCCCCGGAGCCCCATTACCTGGAAGAGCAGAGCCAGAGTTGGTGAGGCCGGGGACCGCCACGTGAGTCCCTCCCCACTCCAGATACTCACCCGAGGCCCGAGGGCTAGCTGGGTCTCTGTCTGCCTCCGGGGGCTGCCCCCAGTCAGCCTCGGGAGAGCGGGGAGAGTTCAGCTCCAAGGACTCAGACAGGCTCTGGAGGGGCTGGGAAAGGGAAACCACGAGTGTTGAACAGAAGACGCCCTTGACAGGTATTTCATTTCACTCCCAGATCTGAGATGCTTGCCTGGCTTAGACTGGCCCTGCTCACACCCTTAGCTGTACTCAGAAGATTCTAGACGCCCCACTGTCGTTCAGCCCTGCCACTCAGTTCCCAGAATTGGGGATAGGTCTGCACACCCACCTCCCAGAGGGAGTGTCTCCAGAGAGCAGAACTGTCCCCCCGAAGCAGCCCAGAGATCCAGAGACTCCTCAAGATAGTGCTTAGCAGGTCCCTCTCTCGGAGGCCTCCACTCTGTCAATCTCATCGTGTACTCTTTCTTTTTAAAATAAATTAAAATTTTTTGGTTTTGGGATCACACCCAGTGGCACTCAGGGTTTTCTCCTATCTGTATGCTCAGGGGTTATTCCTGGCAGGGCTTGGAGAATCACTGATGCCAGGAATTGGACCCAGTTCTCTTGCAAAGAAAGCCAGCTGAGTTATCTCCTGTGCCCTAACTTGGTTTTTTGTTTTGTTTTTTTTTTTGAGGGGGCACACCCGGTGAAACTCAGGAGTTACTCTTGGTTCTGTGATCAAGACTTACTCCTGGCAATGCTTGGGGGATCATATGGGAAGCTGGGGATCAAACCTGGCAAGGTAAATGCTCTGCCCGCTGTACTATCTCTCCAGTCCCTGTTTTTTTTTTGTTGTTGTTGTTGCTGTCTGTTTTTTTTTTTTTTAACAGAGTCCACTCCTGATGGTGCTGGGGGCCTGGTGTGCCAGGAATCAGACTCAAGGTCTTGCAATATGCCAGGTCTCTCTCTGCTCCACCACTGAGCCCCTCCTACACTAGTGCAAGGCTGTTTAATGTTTCTCTTTCAGACATTGTGCCAACCACTGGACCAGGTTTAACTTAGGGAATCCCCTCAATAAGCCTCTGAGGCAGCTATAATTATCCCTATTTTACACATGGGGAAACTGAGGCTCAGAAAATGTCAGTGAGGGGCTGGAGAGATAGCATAACGGGGAGGGCATTTGCCTTGCACGTGGCTAGCCTGGTCTTGATCCTGGGTATTCCCAAGCACTGTTAGGAGTAATTTCTGAGAGACGGGAGTAGTCCCTGAGCATCGCCAAGTGTGGTCCCTCAAATCCCAAAAATAAGTAAATAAAAGACAAAATGTAAAAATGAAAGAGAATGTCAGTGATCAATGCCACCAATAGGGTTGAGTTGGGACCTCCAGGACATGTGATCTGAAATAACAGACTCTTGCCTTCTGGGGACCTGAGCACTGAGGGCCTGAGAACTGAGCACAGTGTCAACTTCTTTTTATAGACCTCCGTCTTGAGGGCAGAGAGCACTAATGAAAGGTAAAAGATTAGAAAGCCTGTAGGAGTTGGAGGGGGGAAATGCACCCGGCGTGATTCATTTGTCAGTTTCAGGTTGGTTTCAAGTTCCCACCGAGCTCAGCGGAGACCACAGGGAGCCAAGGCCCGGGAGCAGGTGTGCAGGAGTCAGGTTGGGGTTGTGTGTGCAGGAGTGGGCTGCCACCACAGCACACAGGAAACTGGGGACTCGCCAGAGCAGACGCGCAGGGGACAGAGGGGCACAGGGCTATGAGTGGGCGGGGAGCAGAAGCCGCTGGAGGCTGGGAAGCCAGTGGGTTTCACCTCTTTCTCTGAGGTCTCTTCGCTGGGGAGAGTCAAGGATGGGGAGTCAGGCTCCGCGTGGGGGGATGGTTTCTGGGCTCCCCTGAGCCCTGCCAGCGTATCTTCCACCATCCACAGCTGCTGCTGAGCAGATGCTCTGTCCTGGAGGGAGGGAAAAGATTTGTGTCCCCAGAGGAGGGACAAGGGGATGGCTAGGGCTGGAGAGACAGTGACAGGGTTAAGGCGCTTGCCTTGTGTGTGGCCAACCGGGGGTTCATTCCTTGGCACCCCATACGGTCCCCTGAGAACCAGCAGGAGTGATTTCTGAGTGCAGAGCCAGGAGTCTGCACCAGCAGGCTGGCCCGAAGACCCCACCCCTGCCCTCACCAACTAAAGGTGGGGAATGTACACAGAAGGCCTGTAACCAGCTGGGCAATATTTGTGTGGGACATGGAGTCAGTATTTGTGAATATCAGTTTCCAAGAGCAAATCCCACTGACACCACCACTGGTCATAAATGCTGCATTTCTTCTGTGCTCCATGGTGTTATTTAGCACGACTACGTATGGTGGGGGGAGAGGGGGTTGGAGCGATAGCACAGTGGGTAGGGCGTTTGTTTGCCTTGCACACTGCTGACCTGGGTTCAATTCCTCCATCCCTCTTGGAGAGCCCAGCAAGCTACTGAGAGTATCCCACCCACACCGCAGAGTCTGGCAAGTTCCCCATGGCGTATTTGATATGCCAAAAACAGTAACAATAAGTCTCACATGGAGACGTTACTGGTACCCGCTCGAGCAAACTGATGAACAATGGGAGGACAGTGCTACAGTGCGGTGCTGCAGGTACAGGGGATCAGGGACCTAGTAGAAGCGCAGGAGGTCAGGCACTGGCTTCATGTGCAGTCAGCCCAGCCAATTCAGTCCCTGAGCACTCATGAACACTGAGCCAGGAATAACTCCTGAGCACCACTGCTGTGGCCTCAAAATCCAAACATAAAATAAAAATGTAAAACAAGCTTTCTGGATTTCAGACCCCCTTTCCAGGCTAAAACGGTCACAGTCACGGTCCTCCCGTTTTTCATCGATTTGCTTGAGCGGGCCCAGTAACATCTCCATCATGAAGCTAAAACCAATATATATATATATATTTTTTTGCTTTTTCGGGTCACGCCCAGTGATGATCAGGAGTTATCCCTGACTCTGCACTCAGGAATTACTCCTGGTGGTGCTTGGGGGATCATATGGGATGCCAGGAATTGAACCCTGGTCTGCTGCATGCAAGGCAAATGCCCTAACCACTGTACTATCGATCTGGCCCCCTAAAACCAATATGGGAAGAGAAACTTACAGAACTGGACATTTCCTGTCTTACACATGGTATACTTTATTGTTTTTTGGGGGGACAGGGATGATTTGGGCCAAACCTGCTCAAACCTTATTCCTGGCTCAGTGCTCAAGAATCACTCCTGGCAGGGCTTGGGTGGACCTTATGTGGTGTCTAGGATCGAATCAGGGCTAACTGTGTCAGAGCAAGTGCCTTCCCATTATTTGATCTCTTTAGCCTATAAGGTATGCTTTTCTTTGGCTCAGGCCTTTTGTAATTGTTTTCTGTGATGTTTGCTTTCAGAATAAATATTTGGGGCCAGAGCAATGGTTCAGTGGGTGCTACTGCCTCACATGCAGCTAACCCAGGTTGACTCTTGGCACCACATACGGTTCCCCAAGCCCTTCCAGAGTGCAGAGCCAGGAGTTAGCCACCAAAACAAACAAACAAAATAAGTCAGTATCTTGGGTATCTTTCAGTGAATTTCTTCCTGTATATTTATGTACATTACAAGCACTACTGCTTGTTTATATTTATTTTCTTTCCAGTGGTTTGTACTAGTATGCAGGAAGGCAATGATCTCTGTATTACATGACCTGGCTGAACCAGCTTACTCTCAAACATTTATCTGGTGATTACATTGGATTTTCTCCACAAGCAACAATCACCAGTGTTGCCTGCTTAAATAAAAGCCACTTGGCTTCTTCCACTCTGGTGCTTGCATGGAAGACTCCAGGCCTTAGACTCTGACTTGAGCCCAGCTACAAAGTAGATTACAACTGATCAGAGCAGATACTGGTTTCTTTTTGTTTGTTTTTGCTTTATCGGGTCACACCCCACAATGCTCAGGGGCTACTCCTGGCTCTGCACTCAGGAATAACTCCTGGTCATGTTCAGAGGACCATGCAGGATCCTGGGGATCAAACCCGGCCTGGTTGCATACAAGGAAAATGCCCTTCCTGCTGTACTCTCATTACAGTCCCAACACCGGCTTCTTTTTTGTTTGTCTGGTTGGGGGCCACGCTGGACACTGCTGTGGGCCCAGCAGTGCTAGAGATAAAGCCTGGAGCTCTGGCCTGCCAAGCCCCTGCTCCAGCTCTGAATCATCTCCCAGCTCCATCCCCTGTTGGAATTCCTGACCTCAGGAGAAAAGTTTTCCACATCCCACCTACAATTACATTACTGTTTGTGATAAAGCCTTTATCAGATGAAGGAAGTTTTTTTTTTTTTGTTTTGTTTTGTTTTGTTTTTGCTTCTTGGGTCATACCTAGCGATGCACAGGGGGGTTACTCCTGGCTCTGAACTCAGGAATTACTCCTGGTAGTACTCAGAGGACCATATGGGATGCTGGGAATTAACCGAGTCCACCACATGCAAAGCAAACGCCCTATCTGCTGTGCTATGGCTCCAGCCCCTGGAAGTTGGTATTCTTTTTGTCTGCTTTTTTTGGTCAAACCCAAATAAATGTTTTTGAATGAAAGTACCAAACAGCAAGGGGAGCTGGAAAAACAAGTGGGAGGTTCTTTGGGTTTGTTTTGCACTCTTTGAGTGATAGTCCAGCAGGTAGGGTATTTGCCTTGCATGTGGCTGACCCCTTATGCTGCTTTCTCGGGCTGGAGCGATAGCACAGCGGTAGGGTGTTTGTCTTGCGCACAGCCAGCCTGGCTGAGCTGGGTTCAATTCCTCTGCCCCTCTCGGAGAGCCCAGCAAGCTACCGAGAGTATCTTGCCCGCACGGCAAAACCTGGCAAGCTACCCGTGATGTATTCAATATGCCAAACACAGTAACAACAAGTCTCAAAATGGAGACGTTACTGGGCCGGTTCGAGCAAATCAATGAACAACAGGAGGACAGGACAGGACAGTGGCTAACCCAAGTTTGATCCTTGGCGGCATCCCCTGAGTACCACCAGGAGTAATTCCTGAGTGCAGAGCCAAGAGTAACTCCTGAGCATTGCGGGTGTGACCAAAAAAGTCAAAAAATAAAAAATAAGTAAGTGGGGGGGGGGGGTTCTTAAGGAACTAGCACAACAATACAGTGGATAGGTTATTTGCCTGGCACAAGGCTGATCGGGTTCGGTCCCCGGCATCCCACATGATTCCCCGAGCATGTCCAGAAGTGATTCCTAATTGCAGAGTCTGGAACCCTTGAGCACTGCTGGGTGTGGCCCCAAAACAGAAAAGGGGTACACATGCCAAAAGGGTGAATGGGGAGAATTCCAGGAGAATGTTTGGGGAGGAAGGAAAGGGAAGGCTTTAGGGCTTGGGCACTAACATACCTGGGGCGCCCCGAGGTGTAGGAGATACTCCAGAGTCTCCCTCAAGGCTCCCAGCTCCTGTTCCAGGCTGTTGTACACATCCCACACTCGCTCTCGCTCCTGGGTGCCCGGAAAAGGGGAGATCCAGGTCAGCGCACCTATCCACCACCCCTCCTCCACCCTGTCTTTTCTGGATAAACACAGGAAATTGTCAGGGTCAATTCCCAAGGACTCCTTTGCTCAGACTCCTAGGAAGCCCTGGTATATTTGGAAGCTTCTATTTGAATGTGAAGTGCTAATATAGATAAATCATCTCTCATCTCACCTAGGCAAGACTGTGTAACTAAGGATTATTTTTTCTTGGGGTAGGAGGCAGTCGCGTTGGTGCCACACCCAGTAATGCTCAGGGATTTCTCCTGACTCTGCTCAGGGATTACTTCCGGCAAGGTTCAGAGGATTATTTTAGATGCTGGGGGTTGAACCAGAGTTGGCCGTGTACAAAACAAGTGCCCTACCCTCTGTACTGTATCTCTGGCCCTCTAAAATATCTTTTTCTGTGTGTGAGGGATCATACCTGGTGATGATCAGGGTTTACTCCTGGCTCTGTGCTCAGGGATCACTCCTAATGGAATTTGGGGACCATATGTGATGCCAGGGATTGGATCCAGATCAGTTATGTGCAACCAAGAGCCCTCCTCACTGTACTATCTCTCTGGTCCCTCTAAAGAATTACATATATATTTTTTGGTTTGGGGCCACACCTAGTGACGTTCAGGGTTTTCTCCTGGCTCTGCACTCAGGAATCACTCCTGATGGTGCTTGGGGGACCCTATGGGATATGAAGGATTAAACCCAGGTTGGCTGCGTGCAAAGCAAGTATTCTATCAGCTGTACTATTTCTCTGGCTCAGTAAATGTGACTTCTATTGCCTCAAGTTTATAACACAATCATCTGTGGCCCAGAGGTGTCAAGCAACTTTTCTTGGTTCACACAGCTTTCAGAGCAGGAGTTAAGGTCAGGAAACCCCTATCAAAACCCTTGCTCTTGGACAACTAAACTATATTCTGCCACTACACTGAAATCTCTGCTGGCTCCTCACAGCCCCTCAAGATCATGGGTTGTGGGGCTGGAGTTATAGTATAGTGGGTAGGGTTTTTGCCTTGCATGTGGCCAAGCAGGGTTCGATCCCTAGCATTCCATTTGACCCCCCACCCCCACCCCCAGCACTGCCAGGAGTAATTCCTGAATGCAGAACCAGAAATAACCCCTGAGCACAGCCAAGTGTGACCCAAAAAGTTAAAAAAAAAAAAAACAAGGAAAAATAAAAGAACTACCTTCCTATGATCCCTTGGGGCATGATTCCCTGCCAATCAACATCCCCACAGTCCTGTCCTCGTCCCACTGGGTCTCTTCCTGGACACTCACCTGGGTAAGGTGACACAGAGTGGCCCGCACGCTGACCAGTCGGTCCTGCAGAAGGCGCTGGCGCCCCCAGGCCCTCCCTGGGACCTGCGCCTCCCTGGAGGTCTGGCTCAGCTGCTGGCGAGTCAGCCCCAGCGCAGCCTCTAATTGCTCCTGCACCCAGACAGAAGGCCATTAGATTTTTGTGTGCGACCTCACCCAGCGATATTCAGGGCTGACTCCTGGCTCTACACTCAGGAATCACTCCTGGTGGTGCTCAGGGGACTACGTGGGATGCCAGGGATCGAACTAGGGTCAGCTGTGTATAAGGCAAACATCAAACCCACTGTACTACTGCTCCAGCCCCCATAAAGTGATTATATTCTAAGACCACCACGATGCCAGGGGGAGAGCGGGGCATGCTGGGCACCACAAGAGGCTCAGGCCAGGTGTAGAGGCCAGCATCCCACCCCTCCGGGCCTGGACCTTTTCCTCCAGTCTCTGGGCCATCTCCTCCTGCAGCCCCTTCAGCAGCCGGTCCTGCCCACACAGCTTGGTCAAGAGAGTCTGCAGGAAGAAGAAGGGGGTGATGGATGCCCCACCTGGCCCCTCTTGCTCCACCCCACCCCTCCCTCTAACATGTTCCCTTCTCATTTCTGGGACTTAGTAGGATATGGATTGAGGAGAACTTACATCTGTCTCCAAGCTCTGCTGGAAGTTTGAGTCCAGAGGAGGACCTGGCTGAGGAGGAAAGGAATTGGGGAGAAGGGCATTACCAGTCTGTTTGTTGGACAAAGTGGGTCATATTGTAAATTCAGCCCCTGGTTTTGTTTTTTCCTTTTGTTTTGGGGGCATACCTGGCAGTGCTCAGGGGTTAACCCTGCCTCTGTACTCAGGGATCACTTCTGGTAGTGCTCATGGGACATATGGGTCCGAGGATTGAACCCAGGTCAGCTGCATGCAAGGCAAATGCCCTACCCACTGTGCTCTCTCTCTGACCCCGGAAATCCCTCTCTTTCTGAGGTTCATCTTAGTAAATGCTTTATAACGCACCAATGGTTGCTACCAAATAGCTACAGCGAATATTATACATCTTGGAAAAATGCAGACATTTCATTTAGAATAGGGAATCGAATAAGAACACTTACTACCCCCATTCCATTTAACACTGCATTAGTGATCTGAACCAATGGTGTTTGATAAGAAAGATGAAATCAAAGAAAGTCAAGGTAGAAGGGAAAGATGATGTACTCAACTACTCAGAACCACCACCACAGTCAAAGTGTGATTAGCATCAATCCAAGAATTCAGCAAAGATGCCAGGTGCAAGGTGACAGTACAGCCATGGTAAGCAGAAGTCTACACTGGCATAAACCAGAAAATACAATTAAAAATAAATAAATAGTGACCAAGGCCAGAGTGAGAATACAGCAGGTAGGGCTCTTGCCTTACACGCGGCTGACCTGGGTTTCGATCCTCAGCATCACATATGGTCCCCTGAGCACGGCCAGGAGTAATTCCTGAGTTCAGAGCCAAGAGTAACCCTGAGCATTGCCAGGTGTGACCCAAGAAGAAATAAAATAAAAAATAAATTTAAAAAAAGAGTGGCCAAAGTGATAGAACAGTAGGAAGGTATTTGACTTGCATGCAGCTAACCCGGGTTTGATCCTCGGTATCCCATATGGTCCCCCAAGCACTGCCAGGAGTGATTCTTGAGTATGGAGCCAGGAGTTATCCTCGAACATGGTTGGATGTGGCCCCAAAACTAAATAAATTAAAGTTGGAAAAAAAAAGAAGGGACAGAGCTACAGAGCTATAGTACAGTGGGTAGAGCATGCAGCCAACCTAGGTTTGATCCCTGGAATCTTACATGGTCCCCCAAGCACTGCCAGGAGTAATTCCTGAGCACAGAGCCAGGAGTAACCCCTGAGTACCGCCAGGTGTGGTTGAAAAACAAACAAAAACAATAATAGTGGGGACTGGAATAGTAGTACAGTGGACAGGATGCTTGCCTTGCATGAGGCCAACCCAGGTTCAACTGCTGCCAGCTTCTATGATCCCCCTTTCCCTGCCAGAAGTAATCCCTGAGCACTGATCCAGGAGAAAGTCCTGAGTACCGATGAGTACCAAAAAACAAAGTTAAAGAGAGAAGAAAAAAAAGGCTACCAGGCTGAAGAGATAAAAACCAGAGGTGAAACACTTGCCCTGCATGTAGCTTATCCTGGCCTAGTCCCAACCCTGTACAGAGGCCCCTGAGCACTGCCTGGGTGACTTTTGCCACAGAGCCAGGAATGACCTCTGAGAACCCCGGGTGTAGCCCACCCCTCCCAAACCAAAGATAACACTCCTTGTGCTAGGAGAGCTATGAACAGTGTAGGAGTTACTGAAGAGCGTACCAGAATTCTCTGGGAGAACTCTCAAACGCCAATCAAGGAATGATAAAAGGAATGAAAAGAGGGCCATGCTGTGTAGGAGCCAGCCAGCAGCTCCTGGCCAGACCCTGACCTGCCTGATGTCAGGAGCGGGGAGGCCCAGACACCTACCAGTAAAACCATGGAAGCGCGGCTCCCAGGAGACCTTGGGGGCAGCTGGAGGTACGTGCAGGCACCAGAGGGGGCCTGCAGGAATATTCAAATTAAGTGTTATCACTCAAGGGACATACAGCTGGCATATGTGAGGTCCTAGGTTCTATCCCAGCACCAAGTATCTACCCAGCTCTACAACAACAGTATGAGAGACAGAGACAGACAGACAGACAAACCTTATAATCATTTTTTAAGGACAAGAATAATAGTACAGTGGATAGGGCACTTGCCTTGCATGCGGCTGGCCCACATTTAATTTCTAGCACCATATATCATCTCCTGAGCCCTGCCAGAAGTGATCCCTGAGCACAGAACCAGGAGTAAGTGCTGAGCACTGCCAGGAGTGGTTCCCCCAAAACAAAAACAAAAAAAATTGTTTTCTTTCATTTTGCTGTTTTTGGGGGGACCCTGGCTGTGCTCAGGGGTCACTTTTGACTCTATGCTCAGGGATCACTCCTACCACTATGAAGGGGACCATATGGGATGCCAGGGATCAAACCTGGTTGCTTCATGCAGGGCAAGTACCTTAAGCCCTATATGATCTCTCCGGTCCCAGTGCTCCAAAATTGGCATGATAGTAACACATACTTCAATATACTAAGGTGCCAGAAGACTCTCTGAGCTTCAGAAATGGGCTCACCTAACTTCCTTAACTCCCTGTGGCCAGCTGGTTCTACTGGGGGGAAGCAGAACAGAATGGTGAGTGGCCGTGCCTGGCACTACAGCGCCATGGCCAGAGGAAGCTGCAGCAGCCGCTCCCTCTCACATTTGTGGTTAGCTGTGGCTATTCTGGGCTACAATGCCAGGATGCTCTGAGAAAATAGCTGGTGACCAACTTAGAAGGATAAACTGGAGACACAAGGCAGGTGCGATTCTCAAGAGTATCATCCCAAGGGTATTCTGGGCAACACTTACCGTAACACTGCAACAACAGTCGTGAGCACTGATGGGAGAGTAAGTGACTCTCTTGGCTCCATTCTAAAGAGCCCGCCCTGCTTGTGCCGAACTACAATTCCCATGATGCTCAGGGACAAAAGCCTAGAGACCGACCTAGAGTGAGCGTTCCAAAGCCATATGGGATATACAGTCCCCTTCCCCATTGCCTCTCTGCTTACCTGTGTTCTGGCCTCCTGTCTTCGGGGTTGGGGACTTGCGGGTGGCCTTCCTCCTGGAGCCTCAGAGGAAGGTGCTCGGCGGGGAGTGGGAGGGCGGGAGAGGGTCTGACGCTGAGGACCCCAGTCCAGGGGAGGCCGGACATCAATGCGACTCAGGGGGGTGTGGGGTCTGGTAGGGGGAATTGTGTCTCCTGAAGAAGGAGGGGGTCTGCGCGCAGGTGCAGAACTGGGCCGGGGGAGATTCAGTGGGGAGGGGGGGCGAGAGAGGGGTGGGTACAGGCTGTGGGGAGGAGAACCCAAAACTGAGTCAACTAGAGCCCCCAGCTCCACTCCCCACCAAGTCAAGGGATATGTCCCCTTTCAATGCTTTCAGACTAAATGTTCCTCTGTCAACTCCTCCTCAGCACTTCTCCTCCACTAGAGCTCCAGCAGGGGGTTCACTCAGGTGGACAGCAGTCTCTAAGATCTGCTCGAAACAGGCTCGCTCTCCCCCTCCCTAACCTTCCCCTGGGCTATGCCTCCCTCATAGCTTTTCTTTACTTTTCATTTTGTGGCCATCCCCAGCTGTGCTTTGGACTTAATCCTAGCTTTGTGCTCAGGGATCACTCCTGGAGGTGCATGGTGGGCCTGGGTCAACCATGTCTAAAGCAAGTGCCCTACCCACTATACCATTGCTCCAGCCCCCATCACAGTTTCTTTCTTTTCTTCTTTTAGCGTTTGGGCCACACCTGGTGATGCTCAGGAGTTACTCCTGGCTCTGTACTCGGGAATCACTGCTGGAGGTGTTTAGGGGACCATACTGGATCCTGGGGATTGAACCCAGGTTGGTGGCGTACAAGGTAAGTGTCCTACCCACTGTACTATCTCTTCATCCCCATGCACTATAGTTTTTCATCAGAATCGTAATCCTATAGACTCTTCTGGTTCCAGCAGACTCCCTCTTTGAACTCACTCTGGGCTCCTCGTCCTCCGAATCGGGGATCCAAATTGAAGATCAGCAGTGGGGCTGGGAGTGAGTAGCCGGGGTTGGCTGCGATCTCTGGAAAGGTGTACAGCTTCGGGGGATTCTGAGCTGTGTCCTTTGTCCTCTCGTCTCACCTCTGGGGGGCCCCCGGGGCCACCAGGGCCCTCTCCACACTGGAGATGAGCAGGTGACCTGGATCGCCCACTAATAGTGGGGGATGGAGAGAAGACAAAGAAAAACCTCACAAGGGACCTGGCTCACTTCACAGGACACAGGAACCTAATCAGAAAAAATATGGAGATGGTGGCCTGCTGAATCATTGTCCCAGTTCTGCAGACAGGGCACTTGAGAAGCCTGTGCCATGTCACAAGGTTCATCCGGGTTGCTGATATCTAGATACTGGAACCGAGATGGGCCAAACCTTTTTGGTTTTGGTTTTTGCTTTTTTTTGTAACTGACAACCTCAGAAGGTGAAGACATTTTTTGTTTTTCGGTCACTCTCAATGATGCTCAAAGGTTACTCTTGGTTCTGCACTTCGGAATTACTCCTGGCACTGCTGGGACCCATGTATTGGAACACAGAGCAATCAAATACCTCAACATCCTACCACCTGTACCATAGCTCCAGCCTCAGGGGGTGGAGACTTCTGAGAAAACCAATCAGAATGGACGGAATGTTAATTAGAGGGCTGACCCAATTGCGGGGGGAATGTCCTAGAAGACAGTTCTTTTTCTGATTGGACAGGGATGCCTGATAGGCGGAGTCTCTTTGAAAGATGAATGATTGGAAGTGATCCGAAGGGGTGTGGCTTGGATACTCACCAATCATCGCCCTCTGCGCGGGAGGCCCGGCCCAGCGCCCTAAGCCAGCCACGGAGGTCCTCTAGGGTGTCCGCGGCCAGAACGTAGGTTCTCATGCCTGGGTGCTCTGCCTGTGGGCAGAGAGAGCAGAGTACCAGGATACCCACGTTCCATGGGGTCTGGGATGAAGCTCAGCGGTTTGATCTCAGTACCGTAAAAGAAAAAAATGTAAAGGAGCATGCCTCTGGCTTGTCCATTGCCAGCTGTGGCCAGCCCAGACCTGGCCTGACTCACCGTGAAGGTGAAGCGCCGTCCCCGCGGGACTCCAGGCCCATCTGGTCGGACACTGTAGCTGGGGAGTGGTACGCTGCCCAGGACACTCTCCTCTCGGCTATCTGCATGAGACAGACTGGGGTGAAGGATCTCCCATGGACCTGGAGCTGGAGGAAATGCAAGATGGGACCCCCTATCCACCCTCCCATCAGCCCATGACATCTGGACCCTGACCCTTGTAATAGAAGAGACAATGGCCGGAGAGCACAAACCAGCGGCGTTTCCAGAGCCGGAGCCCAGCGCTGTCCTGGGGAAAGAAAGTGGGAGGTTTGGTCGGACCATGGGGGTGGGTTTTGGGTGGGGAATGAATAAAGACAGTGGCACTTGGGAACAGAACTCCAGAATGTGGAGGAGATATTTGTCACGTTGGTTTCAGACTCAGCCCTGGGGCCAGTGGTTGGCAGTGGGGAGGACAGAGGTTCTGGATGGATGCGTCTGAGCCCTGTTCTGAGGCCCACCACTTTCAAACTTAGAACAAACAGTTTCCCCACTAGGAACCCCTCATCTCATCTGCCCATTGGAGGCTGAGACATTCAGGAAGGAGACAATACCCTGAAAGAAGAAGTGATTCGTAAATGAAGATTTGGGGGCCTGAACAATAGTACAGTGGGTAGGGTGTTTATCTTGCACACACCTGGGTTCCATCCCCGGCATCCCCTATGGTCCCCCAAGCACTGTCAAGTGTGATTCCTGAGTGCAGAGCCAGGAGTGAGCCCTAAGAACTACCGGTTGTGGCCCTCACAAAAATAAATATGAATATTTGGTGTGATGGCACTGAGCCAGACCCCTGACCCCATATCTCCTCCTCCCTTCAGTGGGAATTAATCCTTGGCACCTGCCTGCTCTTGGGCCATTTTGCTTTGAGATTTCCTCCAATCACCCTCACACCCAAGAGCATGCAAGATCTCAGCATAACAGGTTCCCTCAAGCACTTTCCAACACTCACCCCCCCCATCCCATGTCACTGCTTCACTGCACTCCCCACAAGCTGGAATCATGGAGTCTACTTCCATCCATGCTGATCCTAACCCATCCCTGCTATACCTACATCTTGAATAAACTATTGCCTATGAGGCTTTGAATGATGAAATCCATTCTCCAAAATGTGTTGCTAGTCCAGCTGACTCTTCTGCGAACATCCTGGAGTGTGATCACATGGGCGCGTGCACACACACACACACACACACACACACACACACACACGTGCACATGCGGCAGTACCTGCCACACACGGAGGCTGAATGTAAAGCCCATCTAACGTCCATGCAGCCCCATGCACTGGGACTCAGGATTGTGCTTTGTCTTCATGGGACAGCAAGCACTGCAGAGCTTATTAATATTCAGTAAATAGTGAATGTGGGGCCAGAGTGATAGTACAGCGGGAGGGAGGCTGCCTTGCCCTTGGCAGAACTGAGTTTAATTCCCAGCATCCCATATGGTCCCTCGAGCATCTCCAGGAATAGTTCCTGAGTGCAGAATAGCCCTTGACCACTGCCCAATGTGGTCCCAAAATAAAACAAACAAATGAGAGATAGTACAATGGGGAGGGCTCTTGTCTTGAACAGCCAACCTATGTTTGAGTCCCAGCACCCCATATAATCCCTGAAACCATCTAGGAATGACCCCTGGGCCCCTCCGGATATAGCCCCCGAACCAAAGAAGTGGTGAATGAAATAAATGAACAAAGGAGGCAATGAAATAAGGGAAGAGGGTGTCATGGCAAACCATGAGACCTATTTGGTTATGTGGAAGATGTAGACGATGGACAGTCTCGCCATGAGCATTCCTTCCACTACCCACTCTCTTACCTGTTTATGCAGCCAGCCACGGATGTGCACAGGGAGGTTGGGGTCCCTTCTGAGCGCATTGCCTCTCTTTCCAAAGGCATGCACCTTGCTCACAGCCCGGGTGGACTTCTGAGGGGAGAAGACAGACGTGAAGGTGCCCTCAGAGGGGAACATGGGATGCATGCCCAGATCCTTGCTCCAGCTGCCCTTAGAAATGGGGCAGGGGGAGGGGTGGAGCGATAGTACAGCTGGTAGGGCGATTGCCTTGCACACGGTCGACCCTGATTCCATCCTATATGGTCCATCCAGGAGTAATTTCTGAGTCAGAGTCAGGAGCATCACTGGGTGTGACCCAAAAAGCCAAAAAAAAAAAAAAAAAAAAAGAAGAAGAAGAAGAAGACAAAGAAATTGGGCTGGGGGAGTCTGGAGAGAAGCAGTTGCTGTGGGTACTGAGGGACACCCACTCTCAGTGGGTGGAAGGTGGTGCTAGGGGGCAAGGGAGAATGTCACAGCTAGAGGGGATTTAGGGGATTTGGGAATCGAGGGTCCCCTTCGAAGGAAAGAGTGAAGAAGCCTCTGGGACTGGTAGAGGCCACCTTGCCTGGGAGTTTCCTACAATTAAGGGGAAACCTCCCCCACCCCACAGGAGCTGAAGAGATATTACAGCGGGTTAGGCTCTTATTGTGCGCTTGGCTGGTTCAATGATCTGGGTTCAATGATCCCTGAGCACAGAGCCAGGAGTAAGCCCTGAGCATCTCAGGTGTCCCCAAACAACAACAAAAAAGGAGGGAGCCTGCAGTCTGGGTGTGGAGGTCCAGAACTGGGTGGCCTGGGGGTCTTGGCATAGCACATTCTCTGACCTAAGCCACAGGGCCTGGGAGATCCCCAAGGCAGAGGAGCTGTCTCACTGAGACTGACTCTGACTTGAAAACCCTGAGGGGGTGGCCCTGCTGGGGCACCTCTGAATTCCAAGCTGTGACTGGTGGGCAACTGGAGACCTTTCTCTGAAAAGCCCCACACAAACAATCCTAGCTATTTTTGGGAGGAAGGTGGAGAGGTGACTCAGCTAGCAGTGCTTAGGGGCTACTCCTGGCTCAGTGCTCAGGGTTGCTTTGCAGGAGGATGGAAGATGGGCCTCCTATGTGCAAAGACTGCACTGCAGCCTGCCAAAGATCTCCCTGACCCAGGGGTAACAATGACCAGGGCTGGGAATGGGGTGAAGGGGTACCCAGAGCCAGTCCCCCAACCACCCAGGAGTTCAAACCTTGGTGCCCAGGCTGCTGAGCGAGGAGATGGTGGAGGCGCTGCTGGCCAGGCTCAGGCTGCTCCGAGGGCGTCCCTCCTCCATGAGGGGCTCCAGGGGAAGAAAGGGGCTGTGTGCCCGCGTCTGCAGCTGACCCGGCTGCGGGCTGAGAAGGGGTCAGGGGCCCTGAGGTCGGAGGAGAAAGAGCTTGTTGTCTGGGGAGTGGGGGGCTGGGGAAGGCCCAGGGCTGGGCCCAGCATACCGAGTGTCATGCCAAGCGAGGTGGGCGGGCGACGTTGGCAGCTGTGGGGAGGGGCAGCTGTCTGCAGCCCGGGTAGAGAATAGGGGCGCCTTTATTCCTGCCCCCCCTACACTAGAAGCAGGAATTTGACCCTCTCTGTGCCTAGCGACCCAACTCCCCTTCATGCCCAGCTCTGCCCTTTCTCCTCCCCCAACCACCCACTATCTTCCCAAACCATCCCTGCAAGGCCCTGGGGTATCAGCAAGCACACCCAGCCCTCCAGACACTCACCAGCTTTGGGGTTCCAAACTTGGGGGCCGCAGGAGCAGCAACAGCCCCAGGCTCCTGTTCAGTCTCTCACCTGCTCTTGCCCCCAACTCTCTCTCAGACCTCTGTCTCTGTCTGTCTCTGTCTGTCTGTCTCTGTCTCTGTGTCTGTCTCTGTCTGTCTCTCTGTCTCTGTCTGTCTCTGTCTCTGTCTGTCTCTGTCTCTGTCTCTCTGTCTCTGTCTGTCTCTGTCTCTGTCTCTGTCTCTCTGTCTGTCTCTGTCTCTGTCTCTCTCTCTTTCTCCCCGTCTCTCCCACACACTTCTCCTCTGGAGCACTTTCTCTCCCAAACTGTTTCTGTCTGAATCTCTTTCCCTCTGAAACTCTTTCCCTCTTGTCCTAAATCCTTCTCTTCCTCCTGTTCTCTCTCTTTCTCTGACTCTGTCTCTCCCCTCTTTTCTCTCCTCTATTCTCTCTCCCTCTCTCTGTCTGCTGTTTCCTTTCTGATTCTTCTCACTTGCCCTCTTCCTCCCTCTTCCTGTTTCTCTCTTTCCTCTCTGCTGGCCGCCTACACTGCTGTGTCCCCTCCCAGTCCCGCCCCTTTTGCCTCCCCCACCCCAGTCTGACCCCTGGCTCACTGCCCCCACAGCCCAGGGGAGGGGCTGGGAGCCACCCCTTAATCTGAGTCCCTGGTTGGGCTGAGGCCTGGCAAGGCCCGGAGTGCTGACTGACTGGGTGGGATTCCTGACTGTGGATAACAGGTGCCAACCGAGCACCCCAGTGGGTTCTGACCCTTGTGCCCTCAATGGGGACAGGAGGAATCTGGAGGTCTGGACTGAGGATTCTCTTCTAGAACCAGGATGCAGTACCCAGATGAGGCTTAGCCACGCTGGTAAGCACCCGTGTTTTCAACCCCTGCACCTCTAAAAGAAGCAGGTCCGAAAGGGAATGCCCTGCCACAGAGGCAGGGGGGCTGGGGGGGCTGGGGGGTGGGAGGGATACTGGGATTAGTGGTGGTGGAAAATGGGCACTGGTGGAGGGATGGGTACTCAATCATTATATAATTGAAACCCAAGCACAAAAATTTGTAAGTCTACCACTGTACCTCATGGTGTTTCACTAATAAAAATTTTAAAAAGAAAAAAAAAAGAAGCAGGTTCGAAGACATAGAGCAGTAGTAAAATGCTTGCTTTGCATACAGATGGCTCCAGTTTGATCCCCGGCACCACATATGGTCCTCTGAGCCCTGCCAGGAGTGATTTCTGAACACAAAGCCAGTATCTCCTGAGCACCGCCAGGTTCCAAACAAAACCATAAAGTGGATCCAAGGCCAGGGATATGGCTCAATGGGAGAATAAACACTTGCTTGAAAATGTAAGGCCTGGAGGAAGAGCACAGTGGGTCGAAGTCTTGTCTTGATGAAGCTATGCCAGATCCCAAGCATCCCAGCACCTTGTACGGTCCCCCAAGCCCTGCCCTAAGCACCATCAGGGGTGGCCCAAACCCCTACTCCAAAAAGAAAGAAAGACCAAAAAAATTGTGAGGCCCTGGGTACTACAAAAATAATAATAATAAAAAAAATTAAAAAGAAAGAAAGAAAAGGAAAAAGAAAAAGAGCGATGGGGCCAGAATGATAGTACAGCAGGTAGAGTGCTTGCCTTGCAAAAGGCCAAGCCAGGTTTGATCCCCAGGTTCCATCCCTTCCACCCCATATGGTCCCCCAAACCCCTCTAGGAGTAATTCCTGAGTGCAGAGTCAGAAGAAAGCCCTGAGCTGCGTCATATGTTTTGTTTTGGCCCAAAAGCAAAACAAAATTTATAAAAGGGTAAAGTGAAATTTGAAGCCCCCACAAATAGCTAAAGCAATTCTTGGGAAAAAAAGATGGGGGGTATCACCTTCTCCAACTTCAAACTGTACTACAAAGCGGTAGTAATTAAAACAGCATGGTATTGGAACAAAAGCAGATCCACAGACCAGTGCAATAGGGTTGAATACCCTTACACACACCCTTAAGTATATGATCATATAATCTTTGATAAGGGAGCAAGAAATGTGAAGCAAAGCAAGGAAAGCCTCTTTAACAAATGGTGCTGGCAAAACTGGACAGCTACATGCAAAAAAACGGGCTTAGGGGTTGGAGTGATAGCACAGCGGGTAGGGCCTTGCATGCTGCCAACTTGGGTTCGATTCCCAGCATCCCATATGGTCCCCTGAGGACTGCCAGGTGTGATTCCTGAGTGCAAAGTCAGGAGTAACCCCTGAGCATCGCCAGGTGTGACCCAAAAAGAAAAAAAAAGGCTCAGATCTCTACCTAACACCATGCACAAAAGTCAGATCAACGTGGATTAAAGACCTCAACATCAGACCAGAATCCATAAGGTACATTGAAGAAAAGGTCGGCAAAACCCTCTACGACATTGAAGCTAAAGGTATCTTTAAAGACGAAATGCCACTGACCACACAAGTGGAAACAGAGATAAACAAATAGGACTCTCTTAAACTAAGAAGCTCTGCACCTCAAGAGAAACAGTGACCAAAATACAAAGGCAGTCTACGGAATGGGAAAGGATACTCACCCAATTCCCCTCAGATAAGGGGTTAATATCAAGGATATACAAAACACTGGTTGAACTCTACAAGGAGAAAACATTCAACCCCATCAGAAAATGGGGCAAAGAAATGAACAGAAACTTTCCCAAAGAAGAAATTCGAATGGCCAAAAGGCACATGAAAAAATGCTCTTCATCACTAATCATCAGGGAGATGCAGCTTAAAACAACTATGAGATATCATTTCACACCACAGAGACTGGCACACATCCAAAAAAACAAAAGCAACCAGTGTTGGTGTGGATGTGGGGAGAAAGGGACTCTCCTTCACTGCTCGTGGGAATGCTGAATGGTCCAGTCTTTTTGGAAAACAATATGGATATTTCTCAAAAAAATAGAAATTGAGCTCCCATTTGACCCAGCAATACCACTTCTGGGAACATATCCTGGAGATGCAAAAAAGCACAGTAGAAATGACATCTGCACTTGTATGTTTATTGCAGCAATATTTACAATAGCCAAAATCTGGAAAAAATCCAAGAGCCCAAGAACAGATGACTGGTTAAAGAAACTTTGGTATAGCTACACAATGGAATACTATGCAGTTGTTAGAAAAGATGAAACCATGAAATTTGCATATAAGTGAATCAACATGGAGAGTTGAAATGAGTCAGAAAGAATGGGACAGACACAGAATGACTGCACCCATTTGTGGAATATAAAGTAACATAGTAGGAGAATAACACCAAAGGATAGTAGAGATAAAGGCCATAAGGGTGGCCCCACAGCTTGGAACCTGATCTCATGTGCTGGGGGAGAAGGCAGGTGGGATGGAGAAGAGACCACTAAGTAAATGATGGTTGGAGGGTTCACTCGGGATGGTAGATGCGTGCTGAAAGTAGGCTATGAACCAAACATGATGGCTGTTTAGTGCCTATATTACAAACCATAACACCCAAAAGGAGAGAGAAAGAGGGAATGTGTCTGCCACAGAAGCAGGGGGTGGGAATGGACGGGGGTGGCGGGAGGGACACTGGGAATATTGGTGGTGGAGAATGGACACTGGTGGAGAGATGGGTACTCAACATTGTTTGACTGAAATGTATTCATTAAAAATTTTTAAGTGTGTAACTGTATATCATGATGATTCATTAAAATATTTTTTTTAATGTGAAGTTTGCACAATAGACCCAGGTTCTACCCCCTACACAGCATATGGTCCTCTGAACACTGCCAGAGGTTTCTTGAGAGTTCAGAGCGAGGAAGGAGCCCTTACTCAAGAGTGTGGTCCAGGACCCCACCCTTCCTACCAAAAAATAGCGTGTCCAATAACTGAAGATGGCCTGAGAAGGAACTGGAGGTTTCAAGGATGGGCCTGGATTTTGACAAGCCAGATTATGGACCAGGCTAGGGGATATGGGGATTCAGGAAAACAGTACCATGTTCTGGGGGCTGGAACTTGTAGAAGGAAGAATTCCACTTCCTCCTTCTGGTGCTGATGGTGCGCCTTGCTAGAACTTTTTGGTTCTTTTTCTTTAGTTTAATTCTCTGTTTTTTTTGCTCTGCCGGAATTTCATGGAGTCACATGCCGAGCTCAAAAGGCACTCACATCTTCAGGTTTAGTTTCTGTTCTCTATAGTAACCCACATATGAGGGGCACCAGGAAGATATCAGTAAGCCAACCAGTGCCTGTCTTTGTGGTGTCCACCTTTCATTTTCATTTCCACCGAGTCCAGCCTGGCCTCTAAAAACCTTCACTCCCAACTTTCAGTTTCCCAACCAGTGAGACACTAACTTTCACATATTGGGGAGGCAGCCGGATATGAGGGTGGGTGACCCCGAACTGGGAACTGTTGATTAAATTCAGAGAAGGCATGGAAGGCCGGACATGTACACAGTCTAAGAGTTAAGGCTCGCGCCTTGCACACGCCTGACAGTATTCCAATCCTCTGAGCATTATGCTGAGAGCCAGGAATAGCCCAGGGGCATTGTTGGATGTAGCCTCCAAACAAAAAAATAAAGTGAAATCCAGTAACACAAATTTGGGAAATGGGGCAGAGAGAGAGACCCATGGGCAGAGGGCAGGAAGTTGATGTTTCATGCCCACCACCACAGAGTTGCCCACATGCGGCCACAGGCAACCGACCCGGCGCCACAGTAGGAGCTCTAAGAACAGCTGGGTGCGGCCCGAAACCAAAAGCAAAAGCAAAATGCAAATAAAGAACTAAATTCAGAGACTGGAGCAATAACACAGCGGGTAGGGCATTTGCCTTGCTCGTGGCTGAGCCAGGTTCGATTCCCAACATCCCATATGGTTCCCCGGAACACTGCCAGGTGTAATTCCTGAGTGCAGAGCCAGGAGTAACTCCTGTGCATCGCTAGGTGTAACCCAAAAAGAAAAAAAAAAACTAAATTAACTGGAGAAGGGGGCTTGGAATGATAGCACAGCAGGTAGGGAAATTTGCCTTGCACCCTGACGACCCAGGTTAGATTCCCAGCATCCCATATGGTCCCCAGAGCACCGCCAGGAATAATTCCTGAGTGCAGGAGCCAAGAGTAACCCCTGTGCATCGCCCGGTGTGAGCCAAAAAGTAAAACGCAACAACAACAAAAAAAATCAATGGAGAAGGCCTGGCGATCCGTTTTCTTGGAACAGGTCAGCGGGACCGCCTCCCTCCCAGGATAGTCAGGTAGCGAGTTTGATTGACAGCTCACGTGCTCCGAGGCGTGGCCTGGTCCGGAATTGCCGCGCTGACGTTTTGGAAATCTCCGCGAGATTTGCTGGCTCCGTTTTCCCTTTCGCCCTGTGGAAACCCCGCCTTTCGTGACGTCATGGGCACGTAGGCGTGCGAGAGTCTATAAAAGCCGCGCGCCCCGCGCCTCCGCCCAACAACCCCCGTCGCGAACTGCTTTTGGTGTTTATGTTGGTTCCTCCGAACGACGCCACGAGAATTGGTCGCGACCGCGCTTTCAGCCGCAGGTGACATTTGAGTCCCCGAGCCCGACGCCCGGAGGACAAGCTATGAACGTGCCGGTCTCCCGAGCCGTCCGGAATCGCGATCGGTTGTGGGGACCCGAGCCGACGTTTCTGCCCCCAGGATGACGCCGAGCCCCGAGTCTGTGAGTTGAGGGGCGGGGGAGGGGAGGGTTCCCAGCGGGGTGGGACAGGAGGGGACCTGGACGGAGACGGAAGAAAAGGGGGCTGGAGAGAGCCTGAGACCAGGCGCTGTCCCCAGGGGACGCCGGGAGGGCTCCTGGGCCGGGCCTTGTGGGTCGGGCCTTCTGGGTTTGAGGGGCGTGTGAGGGCGGCAGATGAGGGACTGGATCCTTGTAGATTGAGCCGGGACAGGGAGGTGGGCGTGGCGGCCCGGAGGTATGTGTGACTGGGAGTCACGTCGCTATTTGTGTCCTGACAATGACTCACAGGTTGCTGCGGGCCTTCCCCCTTGCTCAGCTCTTCTAAATTTAGTTTTCACCTCCTACCCCTAGGTCCGACAGATGGCTCCAGGCCAAGTGCCCCATTGGTCCCCTCCGTGGAGGGATGCTCACCTACCATTCTTGCTCCTGACCCCACTAATGGGCCTTCCCAGTTGGGCCTGGGGCCGCTTGAGGGGCCTTGAACCCCTGAAGTCCTGGCTGGTGGAACCACCTGGGGATCCACATACTACCGAGGCTTTGGAGACCACAGCCGCCACAGCTGAGAAGGATGGAGAAGTATTTGGTGGGCCTGGCCAGGACCCAAGAGCCAGCAGTCCTTGCCCAGAAGTCCCAGGCCTTTCTGATGAGAGAGAGCCCTGCGGGGGAGCAACAGCCAGTGTCCAGCCTGTTCTCCCGGGCCCTGGTCCTCAGCAAAGAGCTCTGTGTGACCCCTCTGAGGAGAAGGGATGCAAGGAAGGAAAAGTTGTCATGGAGAAAGCAGCAAGCACGTTCTCGCCTCCCTCCCACTGGCCAGCCACGGCACAGGAGGGAGCTGGGAAGGCAGTCAGGACAGGTGCTGACCAACAGCCGAGAGTGGCTGTAGCTTGGAGCCCGCTGCCCGGGAGCTGGCAGCCACATTCTGCTTGGACCGCAGCAGGAGCTGGAGACCAGGAGTCCCAGAAGGCCCGGGTGGGCCAGCTGGGAGCAGACAAACAGGAAGAGGAGAAGGAAGCAAAGGAAGAGGATTCCAGAGCCGCTGAGAAGGGAGAAGGCCAGGGTCCCTTTTCAGTCCCCCCAAGTCCATTCTTGAGGCCCTGGGTGTACCCGCCAGAAGACAGCACAAAGAAGAGTGATTCCGGAACAGAGGGAGAGAAGGCAGAAGCTGAGGATCCCTTTTCCATCCCCCCGACCCCCTTCCTGAGACCCTGGGTGCACCAGCCAGGAGAGGACACGGAAAACGAAGAGGAAGAGGAGGACGACGAGGAGGAGGAGGAGGAGGAGGATGATTGTTGGGGAGCAGCAGAGGGAGCAGCTCAGGCTCCAGCTTCTCTCCCAGGTGCCTCCCAGAATGTCTGTACGTTTTTCCGGGGAGAAGATACGGATGAGGAGGAAGAGGAAGTGGAGGAAGAGGAGGAGGAAGAGAGTGATATGGGAGAACATGAGGGTCCCTCTTCTCTCCCAGGTGCCCCCTTGACTACCCCCATGGCCTGTCCAGGAAAAGACTGGGGAGAGGATGATGATGGCAAGAAGGATGAAGTGGAAAAGAGGGAGGATGGGGAATCGGGAGTCACACAGGGCTGCTCTTCCCTCCCAAGCACCTTCCTAAGGAATTGGATGTACTTGCCAGGGGAGGAGGAAGAGGAGGAGGAGGAAGAAGAAGAAGAAGCTGCTGATTCCAGACCAGGTGCCTCTCAGGCTGCCTGGGGCCCCGCCATTGACCAACCTGTGGAGCCTCGTCCCTTCCAAGTGTCCTTCTATTTACCTGGGGAGAAGCCGCCACCCTCCTGGGCTCCCCCTCAGCCCCCACTCTGGCTATGGCTGCGACTCCACTGCACCAAGCCCTGTGCCCCGCCTCCAGAACCTGCAGTGCCTGTGAAAGAGAGAAAGGTGGGTGCTGGGGGCTTAACTTGATGAGGATTTGGGGTGGGAGGCGGAGGGTTGCCCTGGGAATGCATGGCTGGTCAGGGAACTCCACTGGGCTCACTAATGCAATCCTCGGCAAGAAGCTGGGCCTCTGGGGGGGAGCGGGGGAGGGAAGGGGGGCCATATGTGTGCCCTGGGAATCACTTCAGTGAGTCAGTGGGAGGAGGCAGGCCTGAGACGAGGCAGAGCACCAGCTTTTGTTATGGTATTGCTGAAGGGATGGACCCAGGGCCTTGAGAGGCAGGTGCTGTGCCCCTTGAGTATCTCCCAGCTCAGCCTGTGTTTCTGTGTGCCTGATTAGTTGTTTTTTTCCCCTTCTGTCTCTTTCCCTGATCCTGTGTTTGTGCAGGTACGTTTCTCAGAGAAGGTGACAGTCCACCTGCTAGCTGTCTGGGCAGGCCCTGCGCGTGCTGCCCGCCGGGGCCCGTGGGAGCAGATGGCCCGGGACCGCAGCCGCTTCGCCCGCCGCATTGCACAGGCCCAGAGGGACCTGGGTCCCTGCCTCACTGCTGTGGCCCGCGCCAGAGCCAGGGTCCGCCTCAGGAAACTCGCAGCGTCCCATCCCACCCCAAACGCGACCACCTCCTCGGACCCCCTCCCAGCCACACCCCTGAGCCCGGCAGTGGCCTCCCCCTGCCCCCCTCCCGTGCCTGATTCTCCTAGCCTGGACCTCAATGAGAGGCGTGGCTGAGATTCAGTGATGTGCCTGCTATTTATTTATTTATTCATTTTATTTAAGCTCTTTGTAGATGGAATAAAACCTTTTACCCTCTCGAGCGTCTGTGCTTATGTATATCTGAACCCATGATCTCTGCCGCTCTCTGGTCCCTGTAGCGACTGAAGGCAGAGCATAAAAGCAAGTACTTGAAATGCAGGATAAACACCATGTCCCGTCAGCCCTCAACTTCACCTCCTCTCATCCAGAGGCTTCTTGCAAACTAAACTTCTTGTCCATCTACAGTTGGGTCCACTGGGAACAAGGATCTTCTGGGCGGGATTCATGGATCTTCCAGGCAGAGTGAAGGCCTGGTTCTGTTCCTGGGGTCTAGACTTGGATTACTGGTGTTGGTACTGTGAGTTCCTCAAGGCTCTCCACTTCCTGGGCTGAGAGACAACTCAGTGGCTCAGCTTGATGGTTCTGGGTCCCATCCCCAGTACTGCATGTGGTTCCATGGAGGCTGCTCAGAGCCACTCCCAGAGACCATTGGCTGTGGCCCCATGTCTAGGAAAGGCTCCCAGCTTCCTTCCTGGTGGCTCTCTAAGCCTGTCTGCCAACTGGGTTTTACTCTGCAATATCTGACTAACACTTGCACATATCTCACGGGCTTATAGGGCCCCCCCCAGAGGAATACTTCAAAATGCTTGTAGTGGCTTACTCTTCAAGTTCATCTTCTCCCTTGAACACGTATCTCACTTGCTTATCTGTGTATTTTTTGCTTGCTTTTTCCACTCCAGAGAAGCCCCGGTTCTCACTTCAACATGTACTCGCTTTAACATGTATTTCCTTTCTCTTCCCTCTTGTCTTTCTAAGCAAGTTTTATTCAATAAAAACTATCTTGAGGTGTGAGAAATAGTACAGCAGGTCAGGTGCTTACCTTGCATGTGACCAACCCGGGTTCAATACCCAGCATATCTTATGGTCCCCTAATATCCCCACCAGCAGTGATCTCTGAGCACAGAGCCAGGAATAAGCCCCAAGCACCCCTGGGTGTGGCCTAAAAAAAAAAAAAAAAAGAAAAGCTATCTTGCTTCACTAAAATAAATAAAATGCTTGTACTTTTTAAAAATGCATTTCCTTGGGTCAGAGTGATAGTACAGTGGGGAGGGCCTTTGCCTTGCATGTGGCTGACCCAGGTTTGATCCCTCATATCCCATATGGTCCCCTGAGCACTGCCAAGCGAAACCCCCAGCACCTCTGGGTGTGGCCTAAAAAAACAAAGATAACTTGCTTCACTAAAGCAAAATGCTTGTACTTATTTAAAATGTACTTCCTGGGGCTGGAGCTATAGTACAGCGGGTAGGGTGTTTGCCTTGCATGCAGCCAATGCGGGTTTGATCCCCAGCATTCGATATGGTCCCCCAAGCACCACCAGGAGGAATTCCTGCGTGCGGAGCTATAAGTAACTAACTCCTGTACATCGCCAGGTGTGACCCAAAAAGCCAAAATAAATTAAATGTACTTCCCTAAAATGCTGGAAAGATAGTACAAGTATGTAAGGTGCTCACCATACATGTGGCTGAATGGGGCTCGGTCCCCAATGCTGCATATCGTCCTTTGCACTAGTAATCCCTGAACACAGAACCAGGAGTAAGCCCTGGCACTGTCAAGTGTGACTCAAAAAACAAAAACAAGTTAAATGCCCGTGAAGGGGGAAAGGAGATGCAGTCAAATGGAGGCTTCGCATGTAGGAAGCCCTGGTTTGCTCCTCTAGTGCCACATTTGGCTGGCATTCACTGAGAACCATGCTAGGAGTAGCCCCAATTTTGTGGCCAGAAATCAAAGAGAGGGCTAATGAGAGTACAAAGGTAAGGTTTGCCTTGATGCTGCAGATCCCAGTTCCTCTTCAACACCCGAGATGGTCCCCTAAGCACCGCCAGGAGGGACCACCTAGCACTGCTGCATGGTTCCAAAACAATAAATGCCTGTCAATTGGTGGGGGGGGGAGCAGGGAGATCAATAGGACAGTGGGTAGCACATTGCCTTGTGCTCAGCAGACCAGAGTTCAATTAACGGCCCCATATATGGTTCCCCAAGCCCTGCAGGAGGGATCCCTAAGGGCAGAGGCAGGAGTAAGTGCTGAGCACCACCAGGTGTGGCCCAACACCACGCCCCACCCCACCCCATTAAAAATTATGAGAGGGGCCTGAGCGATAGTACAGTGTTTGCCTTGTACGCAACAGACCTGGGTTCGATCCCTAGCATCCCATATGGTTCCCCCAGCACCGCCAGGAGTAATTCCTGAGTGCAGAGCCAGGAGCAACCCCTGAGCATCGCTGGGTGTGACCCAGAAAAAAAATCATGAGATATTCAGATGGTACAAAAGAGATGTCAGTCACAACTAGACATCAATACAACCCCCAGTCATCACCACAGCAGCAGCAAGAAAAAGAGGAGGGAGGGGTGTGAGGAATGAATTCATTTTTTTCTTAAAAAAGTGTGCTGGGGGAGGGGGCTGGAGTGATAGCTCAGCGGGTAGAGAGCTTGCCTTGCACGTGGCTGACCCGGGTTCGATTCCCAGCATCCCATATAGTCCCCCAAGCACCGCCAGGAGTAATTCCTGAGTGCAGAGCCAAGGAGTAATCCCTGAGCATCGCTGGGTGTGACCCAAAAACCAAAATTAATTTAATTAATTAAAAGTGTGCTGGACCCTCTTTCCCAATGAGCAGACACTGAAGCTATAGAAGTACAATAAGAGCATCATATTTTATTGAATTACTCACAGGCCAGTTTCCTATCGAAACTGGACAAGCAGATGGCAAAAGCCTGGAGCGGACAAAGCGGGAAAGCAAAGTCCATGGTGAACATGTCTGGGGCCACTCGGCCAAACTGGAGCACCACGTAGCTGGCTGGAGAGGAAAACCAGGAACTAAGTCCTGTCTGACTCATCTCCGCCCCCCTCCTGCCGCCCTCCCCCCCTCCCCCCGCCCGCCACCTTCCCCTGGTTTAGAGAACTACAATTCCCAAAAAGCTGTGCGGCGCTCTCTTTAAGCCGAACCAAGCCTGAGAGTCAAGTTAACTACAATTCCCAGAAGGCTTTGCAGCAGCATGGCTTCGGCCGCTCGCGGGGGGCGGGGGGGAACGCTCTGGTGCTTATAACAGCAGTAGTTCTTATCTGCTCCTGTTTCCCACCCTGACCCCCACACTCCACCTCAATAAAACCGTTCTTAAGGTCTCACAGTTATCTGGATACACTATTTGAAAGTTCTTGACTGAAGCTCGAGTAACACGACCGTGAAAATTGAGCATATAGGCGCCGTTCTCCTTGCTCCAAAATGGGGCTTTATTGTGCATCAGGACCAGTTTCTGGTAGACCCCCATTTGGAGATGATCCAATAGAGAACCCTATGGGGAAGGGTAAAGAAAGAAGCTTACCCAAGTTCAACTAGCTGTTCTGTTGACTCAGAATTTAAGAGTCTCCCTAGCACCTAGAACGTCCCTGGGACACTTGACTATGACAAAATTTCCGCGGTTTTGCACAGATAAGACTCTTCTGCGCCCAGCCACCCTTCAGTGGCCCTTTCTCCTCCCTTGGGATCCAGAAGTCCAATGAGACACCACCATCACCACCACCACCATCATTTGACTTTGCTCCCTGATAATGCAACCTCAGGGGACGTACATTTTGTGACTGTATGCTGACTCTCTGGTTCTGGGCATCGATTGCTGGAATGATCACTGTCATTTTCCGGGGTCCTTTAATTCCCAACACATTGGTTTCCTGGGGGCATGAGGTTTCAGTTGACCTCCTTGTTTCCCCTCCAGGCCTGTGTGCTTCATTCCCTCCGGACTTCCAGACACTTACATAACATACAGCCCCCAACTCTTTCCTTATCCGATCTGGCTCCGAGTGGAAATTCCTTTCGGGGTTTACCCCATTGTCGAAGATGGTGAATTTGGTGCCCAACACATTAGATCTGCTCCCCAAGGGGCATGACCAGAACAAAAACAAACAAATGTACAAACGTTACTGAAATTCTGAACATCCAACGCTTTCCAATGTCATCTCATCAATTCTTCCCGCAACAATTCTCTTCATAAGACTCAGGTGCAGGGGTTGATAGTACAGTGGGTAGGATTTTTTGCCTTGCATGCGGTCAACTGGGCTCGTTCCCTCACATTCCATATGGTCCCTGGAGCCCAGCCAGGAGTAATGCCTGAGTGCTGGGCCAGGAGTAATCCCTGAGCATCACCAGGTGTAATCCAAAAAGCTGAGTTAGTCAAGGGTGTTAAAAATTTGGTGGTTGAGAGGTAAGGTAGCTACATATATCAAAACTGTAAGAGACACTATGTCAAGCATGTGGCCCAAGCACTGTAGCCCTGCACTGTAGCACCATCCTCCCATTGTTCATTGATTTGCTCAAGTGGGCACCAGTAACGTCTCCATTGTGAGACGTTTTACTGTTTTTGGCATATTGATTATGTCACGGGTAGCTTGCCAGGCTTTACCTGGGGGCGGGATACTCTCGGTAGCTTGCTGGGCTCTCCGAGAGGGACGGAGGAATTGAACCCGGGTTGGCCACGTGCAAGGCAAACACCATACCCACTGTGCTATCACTCCAGCTCTGTATGACCAAAAATATAAGTAGAGGGCTGGAGCGATAGCACAGCGGTTAGGGCGTTTGCCTTGCACGCAGCCAATCCAGGTTCGATGCCCAGCATTCTATATGGTCCCCTCAGCACCGCCAGAGATAATTCCTGAGTGCAGAACCAGGAGTAACCCCTGTGCATTGCTGGGTGTGATAGGATGCTGGGAATTGAACCCAGTTCGGCCGTGTTCAAGGCAAACCCCCTACCCTCCATGCTATCGCTCCAGCCCCAAGTAAATATTTTTAAAAGAAGAATTTGCTGAAGAGGTAAGGTCGGGGGAGAGAGGGAACCTATTGAGGGCTAGAATCATAGTACAGAGGGCAGGGCATTTGCCTTGCATTTAGATGACTTGGGTTTAATCTGAGCAACCCATATAGTTCCCTGACCACCACTGGGAGTAATTCCTAAGTGTAGAGCCAGGAGTAACCCTTGAGCATCATAACCAGTGTAGCCCCTCCCCCTAAAAATCCTATAGGGGAAGAAATATGGAGATCTCTTAAAAAAAAAAAGGAATAGAACTCCCATTAACCCAGCCATATCATTTATTTTCTTTCCTTTTTTCTTCCTCCTTATGTTTGTTTTGAGGCAACACCCAGCAATGCTCAGGGTTAATTCCTGGCTCTAATCTCAGAAATTATTTTAGACAGTGCTAAGGAAACCATACAGGATGCTGGCACAGGTTGGCCATGTGCAAGGCAAGTGCCCTCCCTGATGTACTATGCCCTCCAGCCCATAATACCATTTCTTGGCATCTACCCCCAAAATACACACCAAAAAAACCCATTTGATTAAAAAGGCTATATGCACACCTAAGCTCATTGCAGCACTTTGTACACTAGTCAAGATATGGAAACAATCTAAATGCCCAGATATGGATAAATGGATCAAGAAGTTGTGGTACATATATATATATATATATATATATATATATATATATAATACAATACTATGTTGCCGTAAAAAAGGACAAAAATCATGCAATTTGTTGCAGCATGGGTGGAACTAGAAGGGATCATGTTGAATGAGGTCAGTCAGAAGGAAAGGGATAGAGACAGAATGATTTCTCTCATATGTGGGACTTAAAAACACAGAGTTGTGAAAAAACAAATGAACAAGGATAATAGATCTGGAAAGTTGGTCCACAGTTCTTTTTGGAGGGGGTGCTTTGAACAGGAGGCACCCTGTTCATTTTGGGGTTATACCTGCAGGCACTCAAGGCTTACTGCTGGCTCTGCAGTTGGAGATCACTCTTGGTGCTTGAGAACCATATGGGGTGTTGGGGATCAAACCTCCTTTGGCTTTGTACAAGGCAAATGTGCAATGCAAACCTAACTGTGAGGGGCTTTGGGACCTTGGTGGAGGAAAGTGGATTCTCTGGTGGGTGGGTGGGTATGGTGTTAGAATGATATTTGCATGAAATCATCAACAGTACTGTAAATCATAGTACCTTCATAAAGATTTTTAAATATAATGCTTTAAGAAGGGAAAGATAAATTAGGAAAATAAAGGTTTTTGTGGGGCAGAGACATAGTGCTGCAAGCAGGATGCTTGCTTTGCAGGAAACCGACCTGGGTTCAACCTCTGGCAGTGCTCAGGCCTTACTCCTGGCTCTGTGCTCAGGAATTACTCCTGCCAGTACTCGAGGGACTATATGGGGTGCTGGGGATTGAACCCAAGTTGGCCTCACACAAGGCAGAGAACCTACCCACTGTATTATTGATCCAAACCTTATTTTTATTAATTTTATTGTACAAATATTTCCTGGAGTGCGCATCCCTCTCAGAGAGCCCTGCAAGCTACCAAGAGTATCCCGCCCGCATGGCAGAGCCTGACAAGCTACCTGTGGCATACTCGATATGCCAAAAACAGTAACAATGACGGTTCTCATTTCCCTGACCCTGAAAGAGCCAGCCCCCAATACACCTTCGGACTACACTAACTAGCACGTAACAGGGACAAATGGAGATGTTACTGGCGCCCGCTCGAGCAAATCGATAAACAACGGGATGACAGTGATACAGTGATTGTACAAATTAATAAAACTATTATTTTTTTATTGATTATGGTAACTTGGGTTGGAGTGATAGCACGGTGGGTAGGGCGTTTGCCTTGCACACAGCTGACCCAGCCAACCCAGGTTTGATTCCTCCGTCCCTCTCAGAGAGCCCAGCAAGCTACTGAGAGTATCTCACCTGCAGGGCAAAGTCTGGCAAGCTAGTGACATATACAATATGCCAAAAACAGTAACAACAAGTCTCATAATTTGTTGTGAGATGTTACTGATGCCAGCTCAAGCAAATCAATGAACAATGGGAGGACAGTGCTACAGTGGTAACTTAGGCTGGAGCGATAGCACAGTGGGTGAGGCATTTGCCTTGCATGCAGCCGACCTGGCCGACCCAGGTTTGATTCCTCCGCCCCTCTCGGAGAGCCCAGCAAGCTACCAAGAGTATCTCACCTGCACGGCAAAGCCTGACAAGCTACCCATGACATATTCCATATGCCAAACACAGTAACAACAAGTCTCACAATGGAGATGTTACTGGTCCTGCTTAAGCAAAACAATGAACAACAGGAAGACAGTGCTACAGTGCTATGGTAACTTAGATACAATTATTGTAATAGTGTTGATTTTTTTTCTTTTGCTTTTTGGGTCACTCCTGGCGATGCTCAGGGGCCACTCCTGGCTTTGCACTCAGGAATCACTCCTGGCGGTGCTCAGGGGATCATATAGGATGCTGGGAATCGAACCCAGGTCAGCCGTGTGCAAGGAAAACGCCCTACCCGCTGTGCTATTGCTCAAGCCCCAATAGTGTTAATGTTTATGATTTTCATTTTGCTTGTTTTTTGAGACACACTTGACAGTACTCAGGGGTCACTCCTGGCAGTGCTCTGAGACCATATGTGGTGTGGAGGACCATATGTGATGCAGAGGATCCAACGTGGGTAGCTTCAAGTAAGGTAAATGCCTTAAACCTTACAGTCTCTCAGGTTCTGTTCATGGGTTTGATCTACAATCTTATTGCCTCTTCACTGCCACCAAATTATCCAAGACCCCCTACCACTGTCCTATAAGATCCAGTCTGCCTCTTCCTTCTGAGCTATAATTTTTAGCCTCCTTTTTGCCTTATCACTTTAGGAATCTTCATCTCTCTAGACTGCCAAAAGTCTCATTACTATGGGCCGGTGTGATAGTATAGCAGGCCGGCCCACCAGGCTTAGATTCCCAGCATCCTATATGGTCTCCCCAGCACTGTTAAAAGTAATTCCTACGTGCAGAGCCAGTGGTAATCCCTGAGGATTGCTGGGTATGACCCAAAAAGAAAAAAAAAAAAGGAAGAAGTCTCATTCCTGGGACTGGAGCGATAGCACAGAGTGTAGGGCATTTGCCTTGCATGTTGCCGACCCGGGTTTGATTCTCGGCATCCCGTATGGTCCCCTGAGCACCGCCAGGAGTAATTCCTGAGTGCAGAGCCAGGTGTAGCCCCTGTGAATCGTTGGGTATGACCCAAAAAGAAAAAAAAAAGTCTCCAACGCCATCGGCGCTTCTATGGGAATTACTACAAAACTCAGCAGCCCTTGTAAGAAAAGATCCTCTTCCAGGGGCAAGTGTGCTTGTTCTGCCTTTCGAGAAATATAGCTCAGGTGCCCCCTTCTCACGCCCTCCTTCACCCCAGATTTCCCCACCACTTATTTCTCACAAGCACCCAAACTGCCTACCTGACTTTTCCCACAACTTTGCTCCCATACCGAGACAGGTCCATGGGATCCAAGGAGATGAGGTAATTAGAAGTTTTGCTCCCTTTCCTCTTCCGCCCTGCCATGAGGAATTGCTGTGGATGGGAGGAACAGCCCATCAGAAACTATTTCTGGTGTATGGCTAGAACTAGGAGCAGTAGGGAAAGGAGCAGTGGGTGTTTTCACTGAAGGGAACCATCAGCAGTGTTTCAAGGGGCAAGTTAACCTCAACTTCACTGGGAGGGAGGGAGCCAATTGGCCCGCAGCTCGGGCTGAATCCAGACAGAGCCTGGCTTTGCAAATTAGGGAAACCTCTCTTTTGCCGCAGGACAACTGAACTTTGCCGCAGGACAACTGAAGGGCTTTCAAGTGGGAAAAACAGACCTGGATCTGAGTAAGCAAAAGCTTTTTTTTTTTTTTTTTTTTTTTTTTAGGAGAGAGCCCCTCGAGGGGTGAAGCCTAGTCCCAGGGAAAGCATCAAAAGAGAATGTGGCTTGATTCTAGAGAGGAAATTGAACGGGGGCGTGGCTTATCCCGTGGGGGCGGGGCTTACTCCAGATTGGGTGGCGCCTGAGAGCAAAGAGGACTGGAGGAACAAATTTGGTGGCCGCTGATAGATGGGGCTAGGGCCCTCCACCGGGAGTGGCCTGAGTGACCTCCGGAAGGGACAGACTTGGTTAGGCACTGAGATTAGAGACTTTGTCACGGGGTCCCACAAGGCAAGGAGCTTGGTTCTGTGAAATACAGGGGTTCTTGCTGGAATGGACAGGTCCGAGCTAAGAGATAAACAATGAGGAAAGTCTGTATGTGTCAAAACCTCGCGCAGAAAGGCTCTCAAGGCTGCCGGTCCGTACCTGACCTCCATTGGCCTCCTCCAGGTAGAGGTAGTAGAAAGGGAATATGCCCTTATCTATGCCGCGCCTGTCGCGGCAGATGCGACACTGCACTATTTGCTCCTTCATCGCTGGCCGTAGCACATACGCTTCGAAGTCGTTGCCCAGCTGACGGTATGGGGCGCGGGGTAGCAGGTGGACAGAGACCACATCGCTGCTACCTAGATCACCCTCATCTTCCGGGGCTTGGGAAAACCCTTTGGCTGGTGCCCCTGGGGAGTCGGACGGTTCTGGGGACTCTGACGGTCCTAGAGAGTCTGCTGGTCCTGGGGACTCTGACGCTCCTGGTGAGTCTGACGCTGGAAACTCCAACTCCTCTTTACTCTTTTCTTCTTGGTTTTCAACCTAGTACCAAAATCCAGGTGGACCATCAGTTAAGAAGTCCTTCTCCAGCCTCGCTAATTATTGATTGGCCATCCCAGCTCAGTGTTCAACCCTTCTCGGCTGTGGTTTCTGCCTATTATTCAGCAGATATAGTGCAGTGGATAAGGCGTTTGCCCTGCATGTGGCCAACCGGGGTTCTGTCTCTTGAATCCCATACGGTACCCCACACTGTCCTTTCTAGGGCTAGGGTAAGAAACCAAAGGGCTAAAAAAAAAGCACAAGGAGGGGCTGGAGCCATAGTACAGTGGGTAAGGCATTTATCTTCCACATGGCCAACCCAGGTTAGATCCCTTGCATCCCATATGGTCCCCCTTGCCCACCAGGAGTAATTCCTGGGTGCAGAGCCAGGAGTAACCCGCTATCACTAGGTGTGGTCCCAAAAGAAAATTTTTAAAAAGCGCAAGGAGCTGTTAGTAGTCCCAGGGCACCTAGGGTGCAACTCTATCACACACACATACACACCGACTGGCCTTTCTCTGTGTTCATCCCTCTCCAAAGCATACTGCCTTTAGGCAGCCTTATTTTAATGTCTGTGTCCCCATCAACTCAAATCCTCAAAGTTGCTGAGGAAGCTGGCCCAATCATAACAGGTTTCTCTCACCAGTGAAAGGGGCTAAGGGCACAGAACTTAAGTTCCACCCCCAGAGTCAGTAGCCTCCCACCTTCTTGGAAGCTGCGTCTCCACGGTCCTGATCAGTCACATTCGGTTTGAGTCCTGGAATGGGCAGCTTGTATTCACCTCTGAAATACCGGGGATCACTATCATCCTGTCTATTAGACCCTAAGGGTTGGAAGAAACCAAAGTCAGGATGCCTGGCTTTGGGTCCCAGGAGCTTGGAGCAAAGTCACTAGTGTTTACGGGAGAAGCCAGAATTCCTGAGTTTACAGCCTCTCTCCATTATCATCTCACTTGCTGAAGTTTTGCCTCCCCAAGGGTTGCAGAATCTTGAGGTTGACATGACTAAGAAGTCTGTAACTGGGGGCCAACCCGGGTTCAATTCCCAGCATCCCATATGGTCCCCTGAGCACCGCCAGGGGTGATTCCTGAGTGAAGAGCCAGGAGTAACCCCTGCATGTTTCCAGGTGTGACCCAAAGACAAATAAATAAATAAAGATAAAAAAAAAGAAGTCTGTAACTGCCTGGGAGGAGGTCAGAGACAGGACAGGAGGTGAGGTGCTTGCCTTGCACAGGAGTGACCCCGGTACCATCCCTGGCACAGCATATGATGCCCCAGCACCACCAGGATCACACCTGAGTCAGGATTAGCCTCGGAGCATCACAAGAAGTGGCCCACCCCTCTCCTACACCTGGCCCCAGAAAAGAAAAGAAAAATTGAGAGGATTTAGAATCTTCCCTTTCCCTTGTCTTAAAGACAGCGTCAGGGACCAGAGTGATAGTACAGTGGGTAGAGTGTTTGCCTTGCACGTGGCCAACCTGGTTTCAATCCCTGGCATCCCATATGGTCCCCCGAGCACCGCCAGGAGTAATTCCTGAGTGAAAAGCCAGAGTATGACCCAAAAAGAAAAAACAAAAACCAGCTTTAGAGAGATTAAAAGTGGGAGAGGAATTAAATTTGGGTTGGAAATAAAAGCCCTCTTATTGGCATCTCTTCTCCCGAAGAGCATTGTAGCACTGTTCTCCCATTGTTCATCGATTTGCTCGAGCAGGCACCAGTAACGTCTCACAACAAATTGTGAGACTTGTTGTTACTTTTTTGGCATATCGAATACGTCACAGGGAGCCTGCCAGGCTTTGCCGTGAGGGCAAGATACTCTCGGTATCTCAAAGAGAGAAGGCAATATTTCTTTTCTTTTTGGGCCATACCCAGCGATGCACAGGGCTTACTCCTGGCTCTGCACTCAGGAGTTACTCCTGGCGGTGCTCAGGGGATCATATGGGATGCTGGGAATTGAATCCGGGTCGGCTGCATGCAAGGCAAATGCCCTACCCGCTGTGCTATCTCTCCAGCGCCCCCCTCCCAAAAAGCAATTTTTTATTTGTGCAGGGAAGTGCTTTGTGTTTTGGGGTTTGAACCACACCCAGCAGTGCTCAGGGGCTACTCCTGACCCAGTATTCAAGGTTGGTCCTGCTGGTGCTCAGGGGACCTTGTAGGGCTGGGGGTGAAGCATGGGCCTCTTGTATTCAAAGCAGGCGTTCAACCCCCATTCAGTTGTCTCTCCAGCCCTATAATACAATATGCTGAAGAAAAAGGAATGTGGTACTATTATTATAACACTGGTGAACTTTAAGCCATGAATGGGACAATGGGGAAGTACAGGAGGCAGCAGTAGAAAGCACAGGAGTTGGGCTGGAGCGGTAGCACAGCGGGTAGGGCATTTGCCTTGCATGCAGCCAACCCGGGTTTGATTCCCAGCATCCCATATGGTCCCCTGAGCACTTCCAGGAGTGATTCCTGAGTGCAGAGCCAAGAGCATCGATGGATGTGACCCAAAAAGAAAAAAAAAAGAAGAACAAAGCACAGGAGTTAAGCCAACTCTGTCCAATCTCTGGTACCACATGGTCCCTCAAGTATCTCAAGGTACAGCCCCAGAGGTCTCCAGAGCACACACGGGTGGTTCAGGTAATCGAAGGGCCAGATAGGCCAGAGCAGTGCATACTCTTGAGACCCTACCGCAGAGCCACTGTCTACGTTGCTCCAAGGGCTGAACTTTGCATGTGGGAGGGTGGTGGTCTCAAGTAGTAAAAAAGTGATGGACCTGCTAAAAGACACAGGTTTGTTTGTTTGAGGGGGAGGACAATTAAATATTATGTTGATTGTAGTGATGGTTGCACATTTCTAAATATTCGAAAACCCATGGAATTGTAAACAGTGTGAATGAATAGGAAATAATACAGGAAATACATATAGCAAAGCCTGTTACCAAAAAAAAAAAAAAAAACTGGGGAGAACTGCCATACAGGACAAGGGGTCTGAGAGTCCCAGAGTCCCAGAAATTACCAGGTTGACAGGTGGTCCAACCCCAGCGTCGAGTGCCCTGAAGCTCTTTATAATATGGCCGTGGAGAGGCTGGAACGTCTTCTACAAAGACTTCCTCCACGTCTGAATCTGGACAGTCTGGTAGCCAGGATGGAAGTGGGGCATGGTGGGGAAGGGGAAGAAGAGGAAGAATCAGAATTTCAAAGTGCTGGGGAGGGAGGAAGGGGTTGGAGAGTCTGTTTCCTGGGTGATTTTTTTTTTTTTTGCTTTTTGGGTCACACCCAGCGATGCTCAGGGGTTACTCCTGGCTCTGCACTCAGGAATGACTCCTGGCGGTGCCCGGGGGACCATATGGGATGCTGGGTATCGAACCCGGGTTGGTCGCGTGCAAGGCAAACGCCCTACCGCTGTGCTATCTCTCCAGCCCCCTGGGTGATGGTTTGGGGAGATAACAGATCTAGGGTGTTGGGGTACGCTAAGGTCAAATGAAGAGCAAGGACAGAAGGTCTAGACTCCTGGATCCTGGTGGCGGTGGAGTTAAGAGAGCAGAGGACTTCAGGTCACCTTCTGTCGGCGACAGAAGGGTAGCGAGCTTGCCACTGCCATCTCCACCGCAGCTCACTGTAGTTATACTGCTGAGGGCTTGGGAGCGCACAGCGGTCTGTGGCATGTGCTCCTGGAGGAAAGGGTTCGCGAGACCTGCGAAATTGTGCAAGAAGACCCTTGAATACAATGTACAAGCTTCATTCTTCTTCCTGGAAGATATGCCTTCTCCTTGAGTTTCCAGAAATGACCTCTGATGGCCCCACCCCTGGTGTGAAGCCAGACCCCAAGTTAAGGCTCAAGCATGCACAGCCCTACTTGAAGCCGGATTCCGACTAGGTACTTAACATTCTTTCTTGATTGGTCCAGGCCAATCACCCGGCCCCGCCTCCCGGGCTTTGCCAGTTAGCAGGGCCTCCAGAAGGCCCAGCAGCCCCTGGACTCCTAAGCCCCGCCTCTCCTCGTCTCTGGTTGGTTTCGGAGCTTCAGGCCTCGCCTTAGAATCCCACCCCCGGAAGTCTTTCAGGCTGAGTGGTGGACACTGGGTCCTTCAGGCCCCGCCCCGAAGTCTATCAAGTCCCACCCCTAGGGCCCTGCTAGGTTATTTTTGGGATCCTATTAGGCTCCGCCCCATATCCCCTAATTGCTCTCGTTCCTCTCAACCTCCCGGGGGACTCCAGCAACCTTTTGCTTACCAGTGTCACCCACGAGGCGCTCTTTCCGCCACCCATATCCCTGGGGCAACAGGAAAGCATCAGGGTTGGCCTGAACCATCAGGGGTTCTTGGCGTTTTCGTCGCTGTTTCTCCTCTAACAGCCTTCGCTATGGGAGAGAGAAAGTGTTTTTTGAGGGTCAAGAAACTGACATTAAAGCAGGGAAATGGAACTCGGGGCAAGGGGAGGCCGGCCTTGCTTCCCAGATCCAGGAGAACTGGCATCCAGTACCCTGTTCATACAGAAACCCCGAATACTTCCTCTAAAGCCCTTGCCCCATTCTTGGAGTCACATTTTCAGAGCTTCTGTCGCATCTGAATGACGCCTTTCTCATTTCCCAACTGGAGAGTCTGAGCTCCAGGAGAGTCCCCGAGGGAACTGGATGGAGTCCAGGGGTGGTGTGGAGGGGCTCCTGGGCACGGTACCTGCTGTTCCAGCTTCTGCAGCCTTACCGTGGCAAACTCGTCCCACAGAGCTCTAAGAAAGAGGGGCATGCTGATGGATTCACAAACGAATACCCAGGTTTCTCAAACACCCCCTCTCACCTCTGCCCAATTTAGGGTTCTGAACTTTTGTGAGCTCACAGAAAGGGCCTAAGCTGAGGCAGCCCCGCCTCTTCAAATGCTATTTCTCGGAGGACTGGCCTACCTCCACATCACAGTCCTTTTCCTCCCTTTTGTGGACAAACCACTTGTCTCCTCCCATCCCCCACACACACCCCTTTAGAATTAAAAAGACCTGGCTTCTGGCAAGTCCAATGATACCCCCCAAACACCATCATGAGTCCAGAGCTGGGTAGGGGTGAACGTGTCCTCCTTTGCCACTGTCCCTCCATTCCCATCCCTGCCCGCCCCATTTCCTCACTCACTCTTTCCTCCATGGTTCAGTCTCCTGTGACATTCTGGAGAAAAAAGAATAAGACAGACCGGGCCAAAGAGATAGCACAGGGGGGAGGTACTTGTCTTGCATGAAGCTATCCCTAGTTTGATCCCTGGCATTGCACTGGGTTCCCCAAGCCCAGCCAGGAGTGATCCCTGAGTACAGAGCCAGGAGTATGTCCTGAACACTGCTGGTGTGACCCAAAGCCAAAATAAAGCAAACAAAAAAAACCCAGACTCCAAAACCCAAAGACCATGTCCTGGACACCTGATCTTAAACCTTTGATGTTTTGCCCAGAGGCAAAAAATAACTACAGTACCAACCATATTTCTCACAGGGACCTTGTTTCCAGTTTTTATTACCACTAGGGGCCAGGGGATTCAGATCTCTACCCCCAAATTCCTTTTTCTGTTTTTGTTTGTTTTTGGGCCACTCATGACTTATTCCTGGCTCTTCATGCAGAGATCACTCCTGGTAGTGCTCAGAGGATCATATGGGATGACAAGGATCAAACCTGGATCGGCCGTGTGCCAGGCAAATGCCCTGCCTACTGTACTATCGCTCCGGCCCCAATATCTAACTCCTTCTGCGAAGACTCAAGAAACGTGGGAGCTGAGTGTTCTTTGTCCCAAACACCGCGGTCGGCCCAGACGCCAGCACTTCACTTGCCTGGAATCCTGGAGACTCCCTCTCCTCCCGGAGAGCCTAGCAGGCTTCACATTCAGATCTGCAGCGTTGCCTCTGGTCAATTTCTAAACATACCAGACACTCTCTTTTGGAGATGGGAACCTAATCTGTGCGTCTCTGGGAAGTAGGAAAGGGAAGGAAGGAACAGGGCTCATAAGGAGGGAGGGGGTTCCCACTGGGACCTGCCCTAAACCCCTCCCTCCCGGCCCCCTACTCTCCAAACAAAGCAGCGAACTGAGGATCGCCCCCTGCCACCCCCCATTCCCTTGTAACCGAGCAACCCCATTCGAGAAGGTCTGAATTGGAAAGGAATGAATGTTCCTTAAAGGGACCCACGAGTAGCCTCTCGCAGTCTCGCAGTGATTATAACCTGTTATTATACGAGAATCTTCGTGACTGTGCTAGCCAATACCGATCTGCAGCTAACAGAGACTGCAGCACACTCCGATCTACAGCCCGCAGGTACCGACTGGGCGCAAATGAGGAAACTACAATTTCCATGAAGACCAGGGGCCCAGAATCGCCCGAAGGTGTTGCCCTTTCCCCTGGCCTTCTGGGAATTGTAGTTTTCTTTGAAACTTTCCGCTTTCTAGTCGCCTAAGAAGCAGGAGACTGTGGTTGGGTTTCCCAGAAGCAGGGGGCGGGGCCCCAGGCTCCCAGAGCCGGCGTGGACCAATCAAGACCTGGGGACCGGCACTGTCTGGGGGCGTGGCCTCGGGGGGAAACCACCGGGATTGCCGCGGACGTCTCAACCCGGGAAAACGCCCTCTGCGGGAAGGAAAGGTGAGGGGTCGCGGGGGCCTGGGGGGGCCGGATTCTGGGGCCCGGGAAAGAGGGGTGCCAGAGAACCGGAGAACTGGGTCCCGAAGGAGCACCCACTCGGCACCAGTACTTCTAGATCCTGGTCAAAGAGGAGGCTGGCAGCTCAGACTTTTGGATCTGGAAAAGAGGGGCGGGGGCACGACACCCGGTTCCTAAGTCTGAACTAAGAGGGTGCCGGGAAGTCCAGACTTCTGGTTCTGGGGAAGAAGAGACTGGAGGACTGGAAATGCTGAGTTCCCGAGAACGTGATGCTTTTGATCGCCTCTTAGAAGAGTCGGGGTCGGCTCGGGAGGCTGGATCCGTGGGTGCTCGGGGCCGGGAGGTCCGGATGGATGCTGTTACCTCTCTCCGCCCTGCAGACAGCACGCCGCCATGCCTCGCTCTGGGCTCCGCGTCGCCCTTCTCCTGCCACCGCTGCTGTTGCTGCGCGCTGTTCTGGCCGTACCCTTGGAGCGCGGGGCGTCCAAGGAGGAGAACCCCGCCACCGAGACCCCCGTGAGTGGCCGGGCCCCGCTCTCCAGCCAGGGGTCTGCAGTGGCACTTAAGTCCCTGCGGGCGCCTTGACCCCCCCTGGGTGCACCAAGATACGGCTTGGAGTTTGCCGACCGCGCTTTGACGTGGTGGAAAAGCGGGGGGGAGGGGCGGAAGGAGGGGGCGGGGCGGGGGTGAGCGCGCCGACGGGCGGGAAAGCACGGCCGAACTTGCATGAAAAATCTTCGCCCCCGTCCCCTCCACCCCAGCATCTTCTTGTCCATGTAAGAGTTCCACCCACCTTCCTTTAAGAAAGGCGATGAATGAAGGGGTGAAGAAAGAACTACATTTCCCAGTAGTACCGAGCAGGTGGCGTTGGCTAACTAGGCTGAGCTCCGGGTTCCTGGTGCTCATGGGAGTTGTAGTTTAGATTATGAAGAGGCAACATTTTTTTAAAACTTATTTAATTTTTGTTTGTTTATTTGAAGCCACATTCTGTGGTGCTCAGAGCTTACTCTTGGCTCAGCTTACTTCTGTGCTCAGGGATCACTCCTGGCGGAGTTCAGGGGACCATCTGGGGTGTGCCGGGGATCGAATCCTATTGAGCAATGTGCAAGACAAGCGCCTTCCGCGCTGTGCTATTGCTCCGGCCCCTCTCCTGCGTGTTTTGCACTCTGCTCTTTTTTTTTTCTTTTTGGGTCACACCCGGCGTTACTCAGGGGTTACTCTTGCCTCTGCACTCAGGAATTACTCCTGGCGGTGTTCATATGGGGTGCTGGGATTCGAACCCTGGTCGGCCGCATGCAAGGCAAACGCCCTACCCGTTGTGCTCTCGCTCCAGCCCCATGCACTCAGCTCTTGTACTCTCTCTCTCCAGCCGGAGTCCCTTCTCTCGTCATTCATTCTACCCCATTTCTTGAGTCACTATGGCAAGTACTTGGAATTCCCTTGCCCTCACCCACCTGCCAAATGGGCTGGCCCAACAAACATCAGGGCGTCCTAGAAAGAGAATCCGGGCAGAGGGAATAGCTGGGGCAGAGCAGAGTGAGGCTGAGACTTGGGGGGGTTGGAGGGGGTCCATGCGGCAGGAGCAGAGTGTGTACCTGGCTCAGGAGTGACCCCTGCTGCTACTTGGGGGCCATACCTGGTGCTGGAGACCAACTCAGGTGCAAGGCAAGTGCCTCAACTTGCCCTGGCTCCAGCCCCAAAGCACATACCGGGACAGACATCACCGCCAGGAGACTAAAGTGCTCACAGGGCTGGGGTGAAAGGTCTACGGTGAGGGGCTCTGGTCAGATTCCTGCCACACACGCCTCCAAGCATTGCCGGGATCAACCCCTCAGTCTGAGGACTACCAGGCAGGGTCCCCCAACAGCCAGAAAGAGGATCGGAGCCTTTAGCTCTGCAAACAGATGGCATAAGGGAAGTTGTAAGCGAGGGGCCATAATGATAGGTCAGCAGGCAGGGCATTTGCCTGCCACATGGCTGACTCGGGTTCGATCCCCAGCACCCTATATGGTCCCCTGAGCACCTCCAGACATAATTCCTGAGCACAAAGCCAGGAGAAACCCCTGACTGCTAGGGGTTACCGCCCTCCACCCAAAATGATGGCGTTTGTTGCTGTGAGCCAGTGAGTTGGTGAGCCTTGGTTCCAGCAGCGCCCAGAGATAAGGGTACCCACAGGGCGGGATTGGGGGACCCCCTACTTGTTGTTGTTGTTATTTGCTTTTTTGGGTCACACCCAGCAATGCTCAGTGGTTACTTCTGACTGCACTCAGGAATTACTCCTGGCGGTGCTTGGGGGACCATGTGGGTCGGGTAGGCTGCATGCAAGGCAAACACCCTATCCTATCCACTGTTCTATCGCTCCAATAACCCCCCCCTCGCTACTATTGAGCAAGCCTCTCCCCTGCCCTGTGGGCTGTGTGGAGCTGGGTATGACCCAGGAAGAGGGAGGAGCAGGGCTTGGAACAGTTGGTGTCTGGGTACAGGGGCAGCAGGGCAGGAAGCAGAGTTAGGTGGGGCCATGACGTCTGTCCTTGTCGCTGAAGGACACGGGCTTATACTACCACCGATACCTCCAAGAAGTCATCAATGTGCTGGAAACGGACGGGCACTTCCGGGAGAAGCTTCAGGCGGCCAATGCTGAGGATATCAAGGTGTGACCGGGCTGGGTTGTCCCCACTCCCACCACTATTTATCAGGGAACAGGGAGAAGCAGCTGCTGGGGGCAGCACTGCAGGAAAGGGACGAAGGGGGCGGGAGGGGACAGACCGAGGTGACTGAGACCTGAGGCGGATGGCATGGCTTCCGGTCTTGCCTCTGCTGCTCCCTCACCCACTCTGTGCCTCGGTTTTCCAAGCTGTAAAGTGGGGTGATGGTGAAAGCTGCCTCATGGAGCTCAGGGTAGTTCCTCCCTTCTGCCTCTCACCAAGGGCGCGTGACTATGTCCATTTTAGAGGCCTTGGAAAGCACCTTTGCCCCTCCTCTGTGCCCAGCTCTTCAGCCCTGCCCCACCACACAACCCGTCCCTGCCTGGGGTTGCATGTGGGAGACCCCCATTCCTCAACCCGTGCCCCAGGCAGCCCTGCTCCCCTGGGCTGAACCAGACTCTGTGTCTTAAAGGATGTTGGGTTGGGCCAGCAAAGGAGTGGAGGGCCACCTCAGGCTTTGGGGTCAACACAGGTGTCGGCCTGGGGCGGGATGTTGGGCCTGCTGCTAAGGTTTCTGGAACTGAGTGATGTCAGGTGGGCTACAGAGGGACAGCTGCACGCTGCCCTCGGTGTCCTGACCGCTGCCTTCTGTGTCCCGAATGATCCGGCTCCTGGCAGAGTGGGAAGCTGAGCCGGGAGCTGGACTTCGTCAGCCATCATGTCCGCACCAAGCTCGACGAACTCAAGCGCCAGGAGGTGTCGCGGCTGCGGATGCTGCTCAAGGCCAAGATGGATGCGGAGCAGGAGCCCAGTGAGCAGGGTGCAGTGGGGCGTCCCTGGGCCCCCCACGGTCACACACATGAATAGGCCACATAGAGACCCCCCTCAGGGCTGCAAGACACTGGGCCCCGGGTTCGATCCCTGACACCATCTGGGATACACCAGGGGACCCCAGTGCATTCAGGATGACCCTGAAGTAAGGAAGTGAAATGTGCCTGAGATTTTCTTTGCTGGGCTGGAGGATGTCCAGAGGTTCGGGCATGCTGCTGAACCCCCAGCACCGCTTGTGCCTCCCCCATGCCTCACTCCTGAGCACTGAGCCAGAGGGTGCCCCCAGGCTCTACCCAGTGAGGCCCCCAAACTCCAATCAATCAATCAGTGAAAGTTGATTTCTTTTGCACTTAGTCCAGGCTGGTTTGCCTTCTTCAGGCACCATGTGGGAATGAAATCATACTTAATAACCCCCGCATGTCTCACGTGGCTGGGCTGTGTGCACTCTAATAACAGTGGCAGCTTGTCCTGCCATTTGGACCCTGGCCCTGGGCATTTGTGACACCTGCCCCTGTGAATGAGGCAGCCGGGATGGGATGCAAATCTCTACTTCCTGTTTTCTGATTGCAGCAGAGTTCTGAGTCAGGGTTGGGGTGCAACCTGTCACCTGGGGACCTTTGCCCCACACGGCGCTCTGCCACAGACATTCTTTGTTGGGGTGTGTGAGGCTCATCTCAGAGGTCATGTCCCTAGAGTTCCTCGCATCCTGACTGTTGACCCCTGGGGGCCAGGCTGTGGGGGTCCTCGAGGTTCCATTCACATCACCTGCTCTCCTCCGCTTGACTATACTATATCTCTGGCTCCATGATGGTTATTTTTACTTGAAGTAGACGGCACAGTTGTGGCCATCACCTCCAGGAAGCCCTCCTTGATTGCTCCTAGCCTCAATGACATGTTCTCTGGACTTCCCAGTGCCCTCTGTAAATAGCCAATGCAGGGATTTGTAGGGGCGAGGTGGAGGGGGGCTTCCCCAGTGGTTTGCAGGGATCATGTATTGTCAGGATCAAACCTTTGAGTCATCCCTGAGGCCCTGGAATAGGAGTATGTAAGAAAGAACATACCATGAGTTTGCTGTCTGTTTTGTTTTCCTGTCTGCCTCACCCAGACATGCAGTTGGACCACCTGAGCCTCCTGAAGCAGTTTGAACATCTGGACCCCCAGAACCAGCACACATTTGAGGCGCGGGACCTGGAACTGTTGATCCAGACGGTAGTTGATCCAGGGAACTCTGGGCAGGGGATGGAGCCCCCATGCGCTTGTGTGGCCGGCTGCAGAGTATGGGGTGGCAACCCCCGAGCCCTGAGGGAAAGCAGGGGTTTTCAGCAGGGCAGGCCCGTCTCTCAGAACAGACTTCATTTCTTTTGTGGACTTTTTTTTTTCTTTTCGGGTCATACCCAGTGAAGCTCAAGGGTTACTCCTGGCTCTACACTCAGGAATTTCTCTTGGTAATGCTCGGGAGGACCATATGGGATGCTGGGAATCAAACCTGGGTCAACCGTGTGCAAAGCATGCCCTCCCTGCTGCCCTCCCTGATGGACTATCCCTCCAGCCCCTCTTTTGTGTTTTTGATTGGGGGACACACCCCATGATGCTCAGGGGCTTACCCTGGTTCTGTGCTTGGTGGTCACTCTATACCTGGTGCTGGGAGGTGGAACTTGGGTCTCTCTCTCTCTTTTTTGGGGGGGTAGGGGGGTCACAACTGGCAATGCTTTTGGCTTACCCCTGTCTCTGCACTCAGGAACTACTCCTGGCGGTGCTTGGGTGATCCTATGAGATGCCAGGATCGAACCTGGGTTGGCTGTGTGCAAGGCAAGCGCCCTCCCCACTGTACTATTGCTCCAGCCTGGAACTTGGGTTTCTTGCATGCAAAGCCTGCTTTCAGCCAGTTGAGCTGTTTCTCTGGCCCCAAACTTGGTATCCAGTCTTCATGGGCTTTATTTTTCCTGTAAGACCTGTGGGTAGGAGTCATCTCTGTGTCCTGGGAGAAGTTGAATCATGCAACCCTCCCTCCTCCACCCAAAAAAGTCACATCCTAACTCTCAAGGCCTGTGGCTTTTGGGGTCAGAGCCATCATACCGCAGGGAGGGCTCTTGCCTCGCATACAGCCAACCTAGATTTGTTCCAGGAACATGCCACATAGGGTCCCTCAATCGATGTCAGGCATGATTCCTGAGTGCAGTCAGGAGTAAGCCTTGAGTAATGACGGATGTGGCCCCCAAACCAATACCCCCACCAAAAGAAAAAAAACACTGTGGCATTGGCTGCTTTTTTTTGTGGCGATAATCAGGGATTGCTCCTAGCAGTGCTCGGGGAATACTGTGGTGCCTGGGGGGTCAACCAGGGCTGACCACAGGCAGGTCCTGCCAGCCTGGTCTCGAATCTCCAGGACTGTACAAGGTCAATGTCCTGAGCACTTACTTTACTTGCAGGAGTCCCAGGTTCCATTCCCAATATTGCATAGTCCCCTGGGTACCACCTGAAGCTCCTGAGCTCAGCTGGGTATCAACCTAAAGCCTAGCTAAACAAAACAAAACTCTGGGCCTGGGAGATAAGTCAGTAGGCTAATGGGGTGCATTCAGGACGCCAAGAAATGAAGGAACTTCGTAAGCCGTGTACCAGAAGATAAATTCATGTTGTTTTAAGCTCCTATGATCGTGATGGTCTGTCCGTTAGCAATAGAAGCTAATTGCTTCTATGTGTGAAGACAAGCCGTCACAAGCCACACATTCACAGCACAAGCACTTCCTGGAGCAGATCCCCAAATGCTGAGCTCGAAAGGCATGAGTGGGTAGATCCTGTTGCTAAGTGTAGAAAATGGAAACAAAGGAACCCCAGAGATGAGGAGGGCTGAGACCAGGAGAATAGTGATGCATTGGAGAAATAGTTTCTGGAATGTTCTAGAAGTAAATGGGAACAACTTCCCACAGGGGCCTGGAGAATTTGCTCAGTGGGATGCAGCCCTGGGTTCGATGCTGGGAATCCACTTGGTCCACTGGACATAGCCAGAAATGATCCCTAAGCACCACCACAACTGGCCAGGGTGACTCCTGAGCACCTGGCTCAAACAAACAAAACCATCCTGCAGGGCTCTCCAAGAATTCACTCAAATAGCTGCTATTATCGGTGTGGCCACTAGATGGCGCACCGACAGGCCATACCTGCGGCACTCCAAGGTGGGACTGTGAGTCCCATTTCTCAGATGAGGGCTGGTTGCTTTCCCCTCTTAAGACCACACACATTTGAGGCTGGAGAGATAACACAAGGCCTCAGTGCCTTAAGCCCTGAATTATCTCTGGCTCCTGGAATCACACCTCCCTCGACTCAATGTGAGGTCACAGAAACACAGATTTTTGTGGCCAGTACCTTATCCCAGGTACTATCACTCCATCCCGTTTTTGTTTGGACGGCCATATTCAGTGGGGAACCCATAATCAGGGTTCATGGGTCCCTCTGATGATGTTTGGGGGTCACTCTGATGCCATGCTGGGGCACAAACCTGGGTTTCCTGCATGCCCTCATGTGAAGCACGTGCTCTCCCCGTTGAGCTCTCTCTCCAGCCCCATGAAGTTGACCAGGCCAGGGAGACAGCACAGAGCTGGAGAAAGTGCTTTTTATGTCCAAGGCTGGGTTGGTTCTCAGTGATGCAGAGGGCACCCCGGTGCACTGCCAGGGCTGAGCCTAGCGCATGGAGCCAGGAGGAAACCCTAAGCACAGCCCGGACGGCCTTCCCCCAAGGAGGCATTATCTGAGGTTTGCTTCCTCTGTCGCGCTCTTGAGGTGCTGGGGAAAGGCGGTTCAGGTTAAGACAGACCCTAATCACTCCCGAGCAAACTGAGGTGGCTGCGAGGTCAGGACTTGAGGCCCCGGACAGGATGGCTGTCGTGGTTGCACTTGGCCTGGCCTCTGGAGATGGAATTTAGGGCTGGGTCCTGCCAGGTGGGGGTGACCGGTTGCTTATCCCCAGGCCACCCGGGACCTCGCCCAGTACGACGCCGCCCATCACGAAGAGTTCAAACGCTATGAGATGCTCAAGGAACACGAGCGGCGCCGCTACCTGGAGTCCCTGGGCGAGGAACAGCGGAAGGAGGCAGAGAGGAAGCTGGAAGAGCAGCAGCGCCGGCACCGCGAACACCCCAAAGTCAATGTGCCCGTAAGGCTCCCCTATCCCCATGCCCATCCTCCACCTGGTCCGCCTCTCAGCGGTTCCATCCGAGGAAGTAGCTAAAGAACTACAACTCCCAGAGGGCGCTGGGGCCAGAAGCTCTCTTCGACTATGATCACCCACTCCCGGGGTTGCTGGGATTTAGTTTGCCTAGGTGGGAGGATTTGTAGAAACGAGCGCTGCGGCTGGAGTGGGCTGTGCACGCCTTCCTCAGTCGCCCGGGCTGTCCCCTCTGCAGGGCAGCCAAGCACAGCTGAAGGAGGTGTGGGAGGAGCTGGATGGATTGGACCCCAACAGGTTTAACCCCAAGACCTTCTTCATACTGCATGGTAAGGTGGGGATGGAAACCCCAGATCCAAGCTCAACCCTGAGGCTCTGATCTTTCTAAGGTCCAGTGCTGAGGACCCTCTCCCAGCACCTGCACCCCGCTTCCCGTGGCGCCCCCGCTAGGATCTGGTCCCCTATTAGGGATCCTGTCGCCGAGAGTGGTCTCATCCCTGGTGAACAGGCCTCCAGGACTAGTGAGGCACATTTGCCTTCATTATTTGGAGCCACATTTCTCTTTATCCTCCTGTCTGGGCTTAGCAGCCCCTATGGGTGTGTCGAAGACCAGACCCGGAAGCTCACCCTGCGGTGCTTATAGTTCTGGACGACCCGCTCATTTATTCCCTTGAAGTTTCTCTGAGCTCCCTCTATATTTTTGTTTGTCTGTTTGGGGGCCACACCTGTTGATGCTCAGGATTTGCTCTGCATTCAGGGATCACTCCTGGCGGAGCTTAGCAGACCATATGGGATGCCGGGCATTGAATCCAAGTTGGCTGCGCCCTCCTTGCCGTACTTTCTCTCCTGCCCCAAGCTCATTCTGTGTACCCAGCTTCATGGAGATGCCAGGACAGAGTCAGGACCCAAGCCAAGACCCACCCACCCACTTAGCCAGCACCCAGCCTAGAGTGAAAAGCCAGGAATATTTTACTTTGCCAAGAAAGGGTAGGCCGAGACTGGGAGGCACACCCCGCAGTGCTCAGGGAGTATACTATGCAGTGCCAGGGATTGAATTGGTGTTGGCAGTGTGCAAGGCAAGTGCCTAACTTTCTGGATCATCTCTCTGGCCCCAATAAAATAGTTTTAAAGTTAAGAAACATTTAGAGGGGGCCACATCCAGCTGTAGCTGTGCTCAGAGCTTACTCCTGGCTCTGCACTCAGGGATCTCCCTTGGTGGATTCAGTGGACTATGTGAGATGCAGGCGATTGAACCCGGTCAGCCCAGCCATGTGCAAAGCAAACGCCCTCCCCACTTAATATCACTCCTCTGGCCCCACATGCTTTTTTAAACACAGTACTACTGCACACTTAATCTGTTGGAAATAATCTTTTTGTGCACTGGGAAATAGCAAAGTTTGTGTGATTCCCTTTATTCAGTTTTCGCTTTATTTTCCAAGCCTAGAGCTGAGCCCGCAGTGCCCGAGTATAATTGTTGCTCATTTAAATTTTAGGAGTCCAGAGGAAAGTACAGCAGGTGGGGCACTTGCCCACCTACCTTGTATGTGGCCAAACTGGATTTAATCCCAGGTACCTCATATGGTCCCCGTAGCCCCACTCATTGTGATCCCTGAGCAAAGAAGCTGGAATCAGCCCTGAGCGCAGCCAGGTATAACCTCAAAGCAAAATAATAAATAAATTTGGGTGTCCTATGTGACTGGTGGCAGCTCTGTTTGGACAGTTGGTCTTTGAAGACATTACATTTCAACTTAGACCTTAGTGGACAGGAACATGACTTAACCCACAGTGCTCCCCAATACCTATGTTGTCCCCCTCAGATATCAACAGTGATGGTGTCCTGGATGAACAAGAGCTGGAGGCCCTCTTCACCAAAGAGGTGAGTGCTGGAAGTCTGAGGCACGTGCAATTCCCAGGCTGGTTCTGGCCTCTTAGAGTCCCCTTGGAAAGCAATTGCGGGAGAACTACAACTCCCAGCAGTACCTGAGACAAAGAGCAGCCACCTGGAGTGGTGGAGTGCCCTGAGGACTGCTGGGAGTTGAAGTCTGATCACCGGTGTCGGGAGGTCCGCGAGCCTGGGAAAGAGGAGCCCCGGACTTCTCAGTAGCCCCTGCCCATCGCGTGTCCCCACAGCTGGAGAAAGTGTATGATCCAAAGAATGAAGAAGATGACATGCGGGAGATGGAGGAGGAGCGACTGCGCATGCGGGAGCATGTGATGAAGAACGTAAGCAGTTGGGCCCCGCCCAAGGGCAGTGGCAGCTGGAGGGGTGTCCAGCGCTGTTCATTACCGTTTTATTCATGTATTTATTTTATGGCTTTTCGGCCACACACCCATCGGTGCCCAGGACTTTCTCCTTGTTCTGCACTCAGGGATCACTCCTGGCAGTGCTCAGGGGACTATATGGGGTGCCGGGGATCAAACCTGGGTCAGTCGCGTGCAATGCAAATGCCCTCCCTGCTGAACTATTTCCCCGGACTCTGACTCTTAACATTATCTGCCTCCCCAGGTGGACACCAACCAGGACCGCCTAGTGACCCTGGAGGAGTTCCTGGCATCTACTCAGAGGAAGGAGTTTGGGGACACTGGGGAGGGCTGGGAGGTGAGAGCTTGGGGACCCTCTGGTTGCTCAATAACTGTCTCCCATGCCGGTCCCTCCGGCTGCTTCTCTCCCTGGGTCCTCATACTCTCGCCCGGCTGCTCTGAAGCCTCCGTATCGGGTGGGTCCCTCTGCAGACGGTGGAGATGCGCCCCGCTTACACGGAGGAAGAGCTGAAGAGGTTCGAGGAGGAGCTGGCGGCACGGGAGGCAGAGCTGAATGCCAAGGCCCAGCGCCTCAGCCAAGAGACAGAGGCTCTGGGTCGCTCCCAGGGCCGCCTAGAGGCTCAGAAGAGAGAACTACAGCAGGTGACTAGCCAGGGAGGCGAGGTTCATTGTCCGAGCCCCGGAGGTGCCCTTGTGCGAGGAGCCTGAGCCACCCTAGTGGCTGCCATCTTGACCAAGGGCAGATGTCAGCACTGACAGCCGCGGCTGCCATGTTGGATAGGGGCAGGAGGCTGGTAAGTGGGAGAGGATAGGAAGGTCCAAGGGGGAGAGGGGACAACCTGGCTTGCCCTAGCTTGCCCGTATGAAGGTACAGTTCAGGCCATCACAGCTGAGGGAGAATTGGATCTTACTAGGCCCAACTGTACAGAGGAAAGCAGGCACAGAGAAGGGATGAGCCCCCTGGCTGGTGGACACATTGCTATGGAAACTTGGGGGGGAGCCATCTGACTGTGCCCTCTCCACCAGGCCGTGCTGTACATGGAACAGAGGAAACAGCAGCTGCAAGGCCACAGTGACTCAGCGCCCAGACCTGATGGGCAGCTCAAGTTCCACCCTGAAACAGGTGCTGCCCCATATAGTGGGGGACCTGGTCTGAGGGCAGAGGGCCTGGGGCCTGGTTCTGAGGGAAGAGGGATTGGGCACCTACAATCTGAGGGAGGAGGGTTGGGGGGGCTGGGACTAAGATACAAAGGACTGAGGAAGGAGAGACTGAGTCTGAAGGAGGAGGGACTGGATCTGAAGGAGGAGGAACTGAGGGAGCATGGGCTGGGTATGAGGGAAAAGGGCCCACAGCCTACATTGAAGGGAGGAGAAGCTAGGACTGAGCGAGGAGGGATAAAGTCTGAGGGAGGAGGGGCCGGGGTGTCTAATACTATCATTTCTCCCCAGTTCCAGATGATGCTCCTGTCCCAGCCCCAGTTGGTGACCACAAAGATGTGGACACGTCAGAGAAGAAGGTCCCAGAGCAGCCCCCCGAGCAGTCGCGGCTGGAGCCCCAGAACCTGTGATGGCTCATATCCCACCACCCCCTGGGTCCTTGTAGAAGCAACTGATGTGGGGGCGCTAAGGGTCAGGATGAATCCTCTAGGGCCAGCAATCTGGGGAGCCTCTGGGACAGGGGACAGGGTGGCAGGTCACACTTGACCCAGACCCACTCTGTGCCTCGGTTTCCCCCAGGCCTGGCCCTTCTTTCTGTCCCTCTTCAAGGACCCGCCTTGTCTCATATCCAGTGGGGTGTTCATTGGTCCACCTAATGGGGGGTCACTCCTCCTTCCTGAGAGGGATTGTTCTGTGCTTATTTTCTGGGCTTTAGGAAGCCCCAGCTGCTGGAACCACCCCCCCCCCCTCCAGACTCTGCTTTGGCTGATTATGGATCTTGGGGATCCCTTGGAAACTTGATACCAGTGACAACTGGAAGACCCATGGACGGGTCCTATCTCCTTTCGCAGTGCTGACTCTCCCCAATTCTCTGGCCTCTTCTGCCTTGGGCCTCCTTCCTGACACCCCAGAAGGGTTCCAGAGCTTCCCCGGTGTGGCTCCAGCCCCTCAGCCTCACGTGGGCACCCTCAGGGCTGGGCCCCTGCCCTTTGGCCTTCTCCCCCACTGCCCTCCATCCTGCTCTCCCGGTTCCCCCAAATATACTTTCTGGAACAAATCTATGCCTTGTCTGAAGATGCTTTTCCCCCATTACCCAGTACAGCCTGCAACATTCGTTTTGTTTCTTTTTTCATTTTGGCTCACTCTGACAGTGCTCTAGGTACCATGTGGGAAGGTTTGAACCCAGGTCTCCTGCATGTGAAGCATTAGCTCAGTCCACCGAGTTCTCTTAGACCTTTTGAGGTTTTGTTTTGCTTTTTCTGTTTTCTGGGTCTGGAGCGATAGCACAGCGGGCAGGGCGTTCGCCTTACAAGCGGCCAACATGGCCGACCCGAGTTCGATTCCTCCGCCCCTCTCGGAGAGCCCGGCAAGCTACCGAGAGTATTCGATATGCCAGACACAGTAACAACAAAGTCTCCAATGGAGACGTTACTGGGCCCGCTCGAGCAAATCGATGATCAACGGGAGGGCCTTTACCTTTACCTTACCTTTCTGTTTTCATATTTTTGGGAGGGCCACACCCAGTAGTGTTCAGGGCTTACTCCTGGCACTTCACGTAAGGATCACTCCTGGCAGGGCTCAGGAACCATATGGGGTGAAAGGGATCAAACTGTGTCAGCCATGCACAAGACTAGTGCCCTACCCACTGTCCTATCTCTCTAGCCCTTTGGTGCTAGTCCTGGTTCTGGGCTCAGGAGCGACTCTTGGCTGTGCTCAGGGGAATATAGGCAGGGCTGGACTTAAATTAAGGTGATAAGAGTTGGAGAGAGAACAGAAGCTAAAATCCTGGCCCTGGCAGGATTCTCACCCTGGTGGAGAGATAGTAGCAGAAGTTCTAAATCTAGCCAACTGACCCCTGCACCAGTGCACATCTACCAAGGAAGATGTGGAAAGAAGCTCAAGGGAGTTTAAAGAATGATTAAAGGATGGAGAGATAGTAGCATAGAGCCAGGGGTAAGCCCTGAACACCGCCAGGTGTGGCCCCCAAACCAAAAAGAAAATAACACCTGGAGTCTCATTACCAATACACAATGCCAGGGATGTAAATGGTTCAGCATTAGAGCCTTGTCTGCAGGAGACCCGCGCTTCCATGACAGCACCTCACGCACACAGGTAACAATCTGTCCCCTCTGCCCCAAGCAGCCCAGCCCCCTCCCACCTCATCTTCTTTTTCTTTTTCTTTTTGGGTCACATCTGGCAATGCACAGGGGTTACTCCTGGTTTATGCACTCAGGAATTATTCCTGGTGATGCTCGGGGGACCATATGGGATGCTGGGAATCGAACCTGGGTCCGCCGCGTGCAAGGCAAACACCCTACCCGCTGTGCTATCACTCCAGCCCCTCCGCCCCATCTTTAATTCTAGTCATAATTCAAGGGAATTCTATTGGCCCTTTTGTTCTGTATGAGATGATTTCCTCTCTGATCTGCCCGCTGCCAAGGTTTGCCAGTGCCCACGACGCTGTGAAATGACTCTGGGTCCTGGGGTGGCTCCAGTGATCCATGGAATCAGCACTTGGTGGGACCTGGCTTCGGTCCCTGATACCAAGTGGTCTCTAGCACCTCCAGATGTGGGCTGGTGGACTAAGCACTGCTGGGTGTGGCCCTACAATAAATGAAATTGTTGCCCTCTCCTTGGCATGTCCTGGCATGTGGAGGCTGCATCTCTGGTTTTATACAGGCCCTGGGGCAGAAAGAGAGAAGACACAGTGTGAGGGTGAAGAATCCAGTTGTCTGTCTCCCATCATCCCAAATCGGCCTTCACCCCATCTCTTGGACCTCTGTCTAGGGGGTTTCTAAATTTTATTTTATTTTATTTTTGCCACACCTAGTAGTGCTCAGGGCTTACTCCTGGGATCTACACTTAGCGATCACTCCTGATAGGTTTGATCCCTGGCATCCCTGATGGTACCCCAAAACCCACTAGGAGTGATCCCTGAGCACAGCTGAGTATGAATCACTTAATCACTTAACTTCCCGTTAGTCGTCGATTTGCTCAAGTGGGCGCCAGTAACGTTTCCATTTGTCCCTGTCGCGTGCTAGTGTAGCCCAATGGCATCTGTTCGCTCTGGGAACATGAAGGGCCTCAAACTGATCGTTCATGATCTTCTGACCATCTGGTAGGTGGGCGGCCACGCGGTCTTTTGACATCCCGTGGAATCCAGTCGGTAACAGCTCTAGTCCAGCGGTCGTCTTTAAATCTCATTACGTGACCAGCCCATCTGATTTTCGAAACCTTGGCAAATGAGACAGCGTCCCTGATTCTTGATCATCGACGGATGTCAGAACTCCGGATTCTTTCTCTCATTTGAGTGAAACGTGATATTCCAAGCATAGCTCTTTCTATTCTTCTTTGGGAGACCTGAATAGCGTTCTCATCTTGTTTGCGTAGGGCCCAGGTCTCTGAGGCATATGTTAATGCAGGAAGAACAGTGGAATCAAAATCCGTTGTGTATTCGATATGCCAAAACCGGTAACTACAACTGGTCTCATTCACCTGAGTATGAACAACAACAACAGCAACAAAAAAAAACCCTTCAAAACAAACCACTGACAAGCTGAGTGCAAGGCAGACTGTGACCTTTCTATACTGTCTCTCCAGACCCTAGGCTTTTGGGGTCTTGTCCATTTTGATGGGAGACTGGAGAGAGTCCTGTAGCACCTTACCCTTCAGACCAACCAAACGCTGGAAACAGGAGAGAGCACAGGGGCTAAGGCCTTGCAAGCAACAGACCCCAGATCGATCCTTTAACAGAGCCGAAATAATCCCTCAGCACTGCAGATATGTTGCCAAATCAAAAAACAAGAAATAGGCCAGAGTGATAGTACAGTGGGCAGGGTGTTTGCTTTGCACATAGCCTGCCTGTGTTTGGTCCCCAGCATCCCATACAGACCTCAAGCCACCATCAGGAGTAATTCCTGAGTGCTGAGCCAGGAGTAAACCCTGAGCATCTCTGGGTGTGGCTCCAAATAAAAAAGAAATAATTATCGTAAAACACAAAGATTCATTTCCATTCTAGGAAACCCCTGAGAGGTGATTCACTGCCCCCACTCTCCAGAGGGAGCCCCTAGAAAACCCCATGTCTGGGCTGGAGTGGGTAGGTCACTCGCCTTCCACGTGGCTGACTCGGGTTTGAGTCCCAGCACCCCATACGGTCCCTCAAGCCCCACCAGAGCTAATCTCCAAGTTCAGAGCCAGGAGTGAGCCTTAAGCATTGCCAGGTGTAGCCCCTAAACGAAAAACAAAAAAGAAATTCTGAGTCATTTGTCTGGGGTTCCCCCTCCCCCCCATCCCAAAGTAAGAAGCAGGGCTGGAATTTCAACATGCTGGCTCCAAAGTCCTCACTTTTGAACTTAGTGCAATGTTCTTTCTGACCTGCATCTACGCTCCATAAATTCAGGTAAGTGTCTGAGTTAATGAATAAATGCCAGCCCATCTCCCTGCCTTGCTGTCCACTTGCCCCTGGCATGGCTACTTGCCGCGTGCCCCTGCTCCAGACGATCTTTCCTATCAGAGGTGTTTTGCTAGTGCTTGAATGTGATGTTGTTCATCACCTCCTTTCTGGCCGGCTTCACGCTCCACCACCTGCAGTTTCAGTGCTCTGACCCATCACAAATAGCCTCACTGGCCTCTCCAGGTCCTTCCCTCTCAGGGGCCCCCTCCTGAGCAGGCCCCCTCCTTGTCTGAAGGATCCTGCTTCCCTGCGTATGCACTGTCTCCTCTGTGGGAGACCAGCTCTGCTTCTAGGACAGGGAAACCTCTATTGAGGGACTGGAGTGATAGAATATTGGATAAGGAACTGACCCAGCTTCGATCCCTGGCATCCCATAGGGTCCCCCAAGCACCACCAGGAGTTATTCCTGAGCACAGGAGCCAGGAGTAAGCCCTGAGCATCCCTGGGTGTGACCCCAAAAACAAAACAAAACTGCCATGGAAATCTGGCAAGATGGGTTCCTCTGGGATGTGGTTGAGTGGAAGAAGTTGCCTGGTAAGCATGTTGAGGGGGTGCTGATGCCTGGAACCTTATGGGCACTCGGTCCTTCTCATCACCAGCCCCACAAGGAGAGTCATCTGCACAGCACCCGCCATCACTGGCCCCCTCAGCCATTGCAACCGGAGCAAAGGGAAGAGAAATCAACAACAAAAACAGGGGCAGAGTGGGGAGGGCATTGGTCTTGCACACAGTCAACCCAGGTTCAATTCTTAGCATTGCATATGACTCCTCAGTCACTGCCAAGAGTAATTCTCACTCTCCCCCCGCCTCACTCTTTCTCTCTTTCCTTTTTGGGTCACACCCAGGATTGCTCAGGAGTTACTCTTGGCTCTGCACACAGGAATCACTCTTGGTGGTTCTTGGGGAATCATATGGGATGCTAGGGATAGAACCCAGGATGGCCACATGCAAGGCAAATGCCCTACCCACTGTACTATCACTCTGGTACAAGAGTAATTCTTCTGTAAAGAGCCAAGAGTAACCCCTGAGCATGTCTGGGGGTGTCCCCAAAACAAAACAAGAATAAAAACCCAACAATAAAAAAGGGGGGCTGCAGTGATAGTCCAGTGGGAAGTGTTTGTCTTGCATAAAGCTGACCCAGCAACCCATATGATCCCCCAAAACCTGCCAAGAATACACAAAGCCAGGAGTAAGTTCTGAACACCCTTGGGTATGGCCCAAAGCCAAAAATACATATATTATGTCTAAATATTCATTCATGACAATTTTATCTTTACTGAATATTCTGTGTCTTGAAAACATAAAGATAAAGTTAAAGGTAAAGGCCCTCCCATTGTTCATCGATTTGCTCGAGCGGGCCCAGTAACGTCTCCATTGGAGACTTTGTTGTTACTGTGTTTGGCATATTGAATACGTCACGGGGAGCTTGCCAGGCTCTCCGAGAGGGGCGGAGGAATCGAACTCGGGTCGGCCATGTTGGCTGCATGCAAGGCAAATGCCCTACCGCTTATCCCAAGGGCTAGAAGAGATAACATGCAGGTAAGTTTTTGCCTTGTGTCCGGCTGACCACATTTGATCTCCAGTACCCTATATGATTTCTTAAGCACCATCAGGAGTGATTCCTGAGTGCAGAGCCAGGATTAAGCCCTGAGAGTGCCCCACTAAAAAATGTTCTAATTTTTGTCCTAAAAGAAAAAACAAAAAGAAATCTTACTCAGCAGGGTTAAGGTGCTTGCTCTGGGTGTGGCCAATCCCCATTGGATATCCAGTACCACAAACCCACATTGCATCCAGGAGTGATCCCTTAGCACAAATCCTGGAGACACACCAAACCTGGCCCTGGTCTCAAGTTTCTACCCCCAAGCTAAAAAGAAGACAGCGGGGTGCAAATGCTGCCCAAGCCCTTGGCCATGTGTTGCTGCTGAGCACATGTGGTGCCCGAGCATATGTGTTGCCCACATCTCCCCTCTCGAGATCTATTTTTTCATACTTTCTTAATTATTTATATTGAATCACAGTGAGATACACAGTTACAAAGTTGTTCATGATTGGGTTTCAGTCATATAATGTTCCAATACTCATCCCTTCATCAGTGGACATTTCCCACCACCAGTGTCTCCAGTTTCCCTCCTTCCTTTCATATTTTCTTTTTTTTTATTTGTCGTTTGTTTTTGGGCCACAATAGGCAATGCTCAGGGGTTACTCCTGGTTCTGTACTAAAGAATTACTCCTGGTGGTGCTTGTGGGACCATATGGGATGCTGGGGACTGAACCCAGGTCCACCGCATGCAAGGCAAGCGCCCTGTCTGCTGTACTATCACTCCAACCTTCCTTTCATAGTTTCATATGGAATGCTAGAATGTGTACTGGGGCTCCCTCTCCACTCTGTAGAAGCCTGCATATTCTCTCTCTCTCTCTCTCTCTCTCTCTCTCTCCCCCTCTCTCTCACACACACATACACACCCCTCCCTCCCTCAAAACTTCCAAATAAAATCTGTTACACTGGGGGCTGGAGTGATAGCACAGCGGGTAGGGAATTTGCCTTGCACATGGCCAATTCAGGTTCAATTCCCAGCATCCCATATGGTCCCCCAAGCACTGCCAGGAGTAATTCCTGAGTGCAAAGCCAGGAGTAACCCCTGAGCATTGCTGGATGTGACAAAAAAGAAAAATCTGTTACACTTTAAGAAGAAAGACATGGAGAGAGAGCGTGGACTTACATGTTTTTGCTGCCAACCGCCCCTAATTTCCTTTCCTTCTCTGACCTCACAGAACATCCTGGCTCTCTCTGGGTGAGGGTCAGACATGCTACCCTGAGTTTCACCCCTGGGGGCTCCCTCCCAGGGACAAAGATGCCTGACCTCCCACAAATTCCAGTGCCAGGTCAGTGATCTTCACTCATTAATTATGAATGAGTCTAACACAGCCCTACCCGAACTCTGGGCCACACTGGTTAGGTCTGGATCCCAGCACCCGCCTCTTGATGGGTGACTTCAGGCCAGGTTCTCCATCACTTGGTACTTCTGCCTTCTCTGCAAGATAAGGGGGTGGCTTCAGGAGGCCTTTAGGAGCAAGGTGACGGTGCTGGGCCCCAGGGACTAATCATGCGTGAACAGAGACAGAAAGAAAAGGGCTCAGTCTCTGCCTCAATGTTCAGGCCCCCTCAGGGATGGAGCGGTTGCTTGGGGCTGGAGCCGTAGTACAGCAGGTAGTGCGTTTGCCTTGCATGTGGCCGAACCGGGTTCAATTTCCAGCATCCCATATGGTCCCCTGAGCACTGCCAGGAGTAATTCCTGAGTGCAAAGCCAGAAGTAACCCCTGTGCATCGCCAGATGTGACCCAAAAAGAAAAAGAAAATCAATGTTCAGGCCCCTGCTAACCTCACACACTGACATAACTAACTGCTTATGATTATGGTGGTGGGAAGCACACCTAGCATTGTTCAGGAGTTACTTCTGGTGGTGCTCAAGGGATCATGGCCCCCCACCCCATGCAGAGATCAGATTGGGGGGTCAGCGGCAGCATGCAGAACAAGTGCCTCGGGTTAGAGAGCACAGTGGGGAGAGCACTAACCTTACATGCATTTGACAGGGTTTGATCCCCGACACCCCATATAGTCTGCTCAGCTCACCAGGAGTGACCCCTGACGTGCAGTACCAGGAGTAAACCCTGACTATTGCTGGGTATAGCCCTAAACCAAAAATAAGAACAAAAAGAAGTGCCTTAACCCCTGTACCACCTTTCAGATTTTTTTTGGGGGGGGGCTGGTGTATGCATCAGTGCTCACGGGCTGTGCCCAAGGCAGGTACTGGGGTCACTCTTGGAGGTTCTAGTGGTGCTGAGACTCCTGCACAGCCTGCACCCCAGCCCTGTGAGCTGTTTCTGCAGCCACTGCTCTGATTTCCATCTTAGGCCACACCAGCAGTGCACAGGGGCTTACTCCTAGTTCTGTGCTCGGGGTGACTCTTGGCAGGCTTGATCGCCAGGACAGCAAGCACTTTACCCCTGTACTCTCTCCACCCCCATGCAATAAGTTCTTAAACACATCTTCTTGGGTACAGACTTGGCAATTTCTCAAGGCCACATATTTTTCCCCCAGGATAAAAGGTTCTGAATATTTTTTGGGGGTCACACCCGGTGATGCACAGGGATTACTCCTGGCTCTGCACTCAGGAATCACTCCTGGCGGTGCTCGGGGGACCATATGGAATGCTGGGAATCGAACCCGGATAGGCCACGTGCAAGGCAAACGCCCTACCTGCTCTGCTATTGCTCCAGTCCCAAGTTTCTGAATATTGAGGTGCACTCATTTTCTGTTTGACCAGGTATTGCAAAATTATTTCATCCAGGTACACAAACTCACTGCCAGAATTTTTTTTAAGTGAAGGGTCATACCTGGCAATGCTCAGGGCTGACTGCTGAATCTGCACTCAGGGATCACTTCTGGCAGGGTTGGGGGGACCACATGTGGTGTTGGGGATTAAATCTCAAAGCAAGTACCTTGCCCTCTGTCCATTCTGGCCACTGCCAACAATCTTTAATTATAGCTCTCAATTCTCAAATCATTTTAAGTTTCAGAATAGTATGTTGCATTCTTTTGTATCCTCCACCTACCTTCCTCTCACTGACAATCTTTTTTTTTTCAGCTTTTTTGGGTCACACCCGGCCATGCTCAGGGGTTACTCCTGGCTTTGCACTCAGGAATCACTCCTGGCGGTGTTCAGGGGTACCTTTGGGATGCTGGGAATCGAACCCAGGTGGGTCGCGTGCAAGGCAAATGCCCTACCTGCTGTGCTATTGCTCCAGCCCCATCACTGACAATCTTTTAGGTTATCACAGACCTAGAAATTATATTGATCATGATTGAATCACCTGACTCAGATGTCTCCAGATCATAATCAGGTTTATGTCCATAAAAATATAGAGGGGACTGGAGAGATTGTATAAAGGTGAAGAATCTTGCTTTGTATCTCAATGACCTGGTTCAAAGTTTTGAATCCTCAGTAGCACAAATGATTCTAACATTATGTGTGAACTTCCAGGGGCTACTCCTGAGCATAGAGTCACAAATAGCCCCTGAGTTCTACTGGGTGTGGTTCACAAACCCAGAGAGAGAGAGAGAGAGAGAGAGAGAGAGAGAGAGAGAGAGAGAGCTAGAAATAGCTTAATGAGTTGAGCACATGCTTTGCATGCTGGAGGTCCAGGATTAACCCTCTGGGATTGGTCCCCTGAGCATTGCCAGGAGTAACCCCAAACACAGAGCCACAAAGCATCCCCTGAGCATCACTGAGTGTGACCCACAAAACAAAAAATATATGGAGAGAGGCAGAGAATATCTAGTGAATGGTTGAGTTGAGGCTGGTGTGAATTTTGGGGTCACACCTGGTGGTGTTCAGGTGCTGCTCAGGGGGCAATTCCTGGTTCTCATAAATCATTCCTGGTTGTGTGGGGACCAGATGCAGTGATGGAGAGTGAACAAAATCAGTTACATGCAAAGCAAGTGCCTTAACCCCTGTACTGTACCAGTATCTCTCCAGTTCTTGTATACAGTTGTATGAAATGTCATCAGATATGAAGATGCAAATATCTTTTGCCACACAAAACTGTTGAATGTCCACATAGAGCACTCTTGGTTCATTTCTGGCTCAGGAGCGGTTTGCAAACCCTGGCTCTAAAGGGTATTAGGAAACAGTAGAGCCTGGTTTTTAATGGGCTCTAGAAGCATCATTATTATTATTTATAATGATGAATAATCATGGTCAGAAAGTAGTGTAGTGATAGTTAAGGCTCTGGCCTCGGAACAGCTGCCCTGGCTTTGATCCCTGGCGCTTCATATGAACCTCCTGCAGAGCCACGAGAGATTCTTGAGTAATCTGCACCCTGCAGGGCATGCTTTCTAAGCAGAAAAGCCGACAGAGCCCAAGGGTCAAATTGTCCAGAGGGAAAAAAAAAACCCGCCTCTTATTAGATCACGCGCTCAAAAGTGACACCAAGTTAACAAGTATTTACTGTCCCTCAGAAGGCGGAGCTAAAAGGGGCGCTTTTCCAATGGGAAAGCTCGTAATTCAAACCGCTACCTCCTGAGCTTGTGACTGGAGGAACGCGAAGGCCTAGCAGCCAATGAGAAGAGATAGAGGTGAAATGAGGGCGGGGATAGTGACTACGCCTCCGAGAGGGAGGTCCGTGGAGGTTCTTTAGTTCCCGCCGGGAGCTGGGAGTCAGCAGCCGCTACCCGGGAGGCAGTAGTGAGTCGCTGTCTTTGGAACTCCGGGTTGCAGGGATGGCGGTTCGTTGGGGCATCGTGTCAGCCGGCTTGATCGCCAGCGACTTCACGACCGTGTTGCGGATGTTGCCTCGCTCCGAGCACCAGGTCCGCCTCCTCTCTGGGATCCTGGAGGAGAGGTAGCCCGGGGTCCTGGACCCCGGCTTCGGAGGGAGGAGGGCGTTAGGAATCCAGCCAGTGAAACAATCCCTTAGTCTCTGCTCGCTTTTTTTCACCCCTTCTGTCCCGTAGCCCGGAGTCTCGTGAGATTTGGGAGGGTTTGACTCCGAGCTGCCGTGATGAGAAGAAATGCAGATATTAGGGGCTTTGCCAATCGCTTGCTTGGATCTGTCTTTGCCAAGGACCCTCCCTCAGCACCACTGCCCTCCACCCCGCTCCCTACCCGGGGACAGGTGACCACTCTTCCTCCAGTGCACCTGCCTCCAGTCCACTTCCAGTCCACCTGCCTCCCTCCCCTGCCCCAGCTTCTGCGTCTGACTCTGCCGCCTTTCCAGGTGGTGGCTGTCGCAGCCCGCGACCTGAGCCGGGCCAAGGAGTTTGCACGGAAACATGACATCCCCAAGGCCTATGGCTCCTATGAGGAGATGGCCAAGGACCCGAACGTGGGTGAGTGGCCAGGACCCCGGGATTGTGGAAGGACCTGAAGTGGAAGGTGGAACAGTAGCAAGGTTTGGGTGAGAGATTAGCATCACATAGCACTTAGTCACCTAAGCAGCAGACATAGGAAAACGTCGAAGGAACAGAGGGAACCCCAGGCTTGAAATACGCTGCTCTGTGAGCAGCCAGAGAGATAGTACAGTATGGAGATCACTGGGCATTTGCCTTGCATGCGGCAGACCTGGGTTCGGCTCTGGGCATCCAAGAGTGATCCCTGAGCGCAAAGCCAGGAGTAAGCCCTGAACACTGGTGGGTGTGGCCTTCAAACAATAAATACATAAATATTCTCCATGGACCCTGAAATGACATCTTCCTATTCCGGTGGGCTGACTTACTCTTTTCATTTTTAAAAAGGGCAATATTCTTTGGGTCCAGTTGTTAGGGTTTAGTGATATATCGATATATGGTCATATCAGAGGTCTGGGGATTACTGGAAGAAATCTGGTAAGAATGATTAGTGTCCTAAGGGGAGAAACCAGCTTGAGTAATGACACTTCACTGACAAGGCAGCAGGGCCCAGTTTGGGGTATCTGGGATCCTTGGATATTGGGGAGGGCCCTTTCAAGTATGGGTAAGACCTGGACCCTCGTGGGTGGATCTATGATCTCATGACTTCCTTCCATCCAGAGGTGGCCTACATTGGCGTCCAGCACCCCCAGCACCACGATGCGGTGATGCTGTTCTTGAGAGCTGGCAAGGCAGTGCTATGCGAGAAGCCTATGGGCGTGAACGCTGCAGAAGTTCGTGAGATGGTAGCCGAGGCTCGAGCCCGTGGCCTCTTCCTTATGGAGGTGAGGGCGGAAGACCCCTTCCAACATCCAGTGGAGCCCTCTTTGCCCTTACTAAACATGGCTGCCATGACCCACTTGGGGAAGACTTAAGGGAAGGATTGCCATGATTTAAGATGATTATAAAATTGAGCCAGAGTGAAAGTACAGCAACAGGGCACTTGCCTTGCACCCCAGCACCCCATAGGATTCCCCCAAGCATGGCCAGGAGTGATCCCTGAATGCAGAGCCACACATTCTGTTGGGTGTGATTCAAAAACCAAAAGTAAACTAAAGATTTCGTTTCTAAATATCCTCACCTGCGAAGGTACTGGGGGATTATCACCTCAATATCCGAATGGAGTGGGAGCATACTTCAATCCTAGACATTGTAGACTAGGGCAGGAGGGGGCTTGGGAGGAGACCCTGAAACAATGGTAGAAGAAAACAGACACTGGTAGAGGGCAGAGGGCATGGTGCTGGAAATATTGTAGGCATGAAACCCAGTCATGAATTAGGGTACTTCTAAAAGAACAGGGGGGCTGGAGCAATAGTACAGAGGGTGGAGCACTTACCTTGGACACCACTAACCCAGATTGCCTCCTGAATATCATCCCAGAGTAGTGATTCCTGAGCACAGAGCCAGGAGTAACCCCTGAGCACCACCTAGTGTGTCCCTCCCAAAAGCAACAAGAAGCAAAAAGCTAGAGAGTGGAAAAGGATTCAAATGAGTAGGTTAAGGCCAGGGCTGCAGTCATGTCCCTCAGCTTGGGAGGGACACACTTTGGGGAAGGATGGGTCGTGGAAGTGGGAGGGGTTCTTATTTAGAGGCTAACCCTTAGATGAGGGTCAGAAAGAGATGAACCCATTGGATGACTCCTGGGTTCTGATGCTGTTTCTTCCCCCTGCCCCCTCATTCTGCCCTCTAGGCCATCTGGACCCGCTTCTTTCCTGCCATGGAGACTCTGAGGTCACTTCTGGCCCAGGGAACTCTAGGGGACCTTCGGGTGGCTCGGGCAGAATTTGGGAAAGACCTTACCCACGTGCACAGAGCTGTCGACTGGGCCCAGGCTGGCGGGGGCCTCCTGGACATTGGCATCTACTGTATCCAGTTCATCTCCATGGTCTTTGGTGGGCGGAAGCCAGAGAAGATTTTTGCAGTGGGAAGGCGACATGAAACAGGTGAGGTTTTGCCTGATCTATTTGAGAGCCATAGAAGAGACCCTTTCTGGGGCTCCTGGAGGCATAGTCCAGTGGGGGGGGGGGGGCACTTGCCTGGCACTCAGCCAACCCGGGTTTGATTTCCCACACCACATATGCTCCCCATCAGAAAAGATCCCTGAGTATAGTGGGTATAACCCAAAACTCATATAAAGAAATTAAACATTTGCAGGCCAGGCTGATAATACAGAGGGTAAGGTGCTTGCCTTGCATGCTGCAGATCCTGGTTCAAACAAAATCCCTGGCACTATGTATGCTCCCTAAGTACTGCCAGGGTCACTCCTGATCATACAGCCAGGAATAGCTCCTGGGCACACTCAGGTATGCCCTCACAGCCCAAGAAAAATATAACCTAAACCTGCCACCCACTTATCCCCACTGCTTCCCCCACCTCCTGACCATCCACTCCCTCTCCTGGTTCTAGGCATTTATCAAATAGTGAGCATTTCACACAAGTAGAAACCTACACCTGTGACACTCTGTTGGAGTTCCAAAGGCAGGATTTGAGGCTGGCCTTGCCTTTATGCTGTATCTTCCTGCAGGAGTGGATGACACTGTCACTGTGTTACTTCAGTACCCTGGAGGGGTCCATGGAAGCTTCACCTGCAGCATCACTGCCGAGCTGACCAACACAGCCTTTGTAAGCGGCACCAAAGGCAATGCCAAGGTGAGCTGAAGGTGTGGCATCAGGAGCATGACCCAGGGAAGCTGGGAGGTATAACACCAAATGCATGGCCAAGGGGAGCTGGGAGGTATGGCACTTAGCAACAGTTAGCCAGCTGTGGCCATCACAGAAGACTGTCCTTTGCTTGAACTTGTGTACCCTGTTACTAAGGAACCCTTTAGTATTGCCCCCTCTGTCCAGATCATGGGGACTTGGACCTCAAGGCTTCTTCTGAAGATAAATCTATTGAGCTGTTGAAATTCTTTGGATGGGGGTGCTCTAGAGACAGATTGATGGCCTGGAACTCATGCTTTTTATGCAGCATCCCTGATGGGTTCAAGTGCTGGGTACCATGTTCTTCCCCAAGTACTGCTGGGGGCAATACCCAAGCAATGAACACCGAACTGGAAATAGTGTTGGAGCACCGCTGGGTGTCACTTCTCCAAACAAATTTTAGGTGGAGGTCCTAGGATGTAGCTTAGAGGTAGAGTGTGTGGCAGTATGTAAGAGACTTTGCAATCCCTGGATGGCAATAACCCGCCAACACCAGTGTGTAGTAGCCCTGGTGGCCCCCACCACTTCCCGCTGTGGACATTGTAGTCCCCAGCTCTGTTAGACCCTGAGCACTGAACAAGCGGGTCCTCACACCCGGGGTGCACTGTTGATGTGGCCCCTAGACATTAACAATCCTTGGTCTTCTCACCGTGGGGATCTGACATTCCCAGAAGTTGACTTTACTAAGCTACTTGGGCCAAAAGAAGAAAAAAAGCCAGTTCTTAGCATGCAATTGGACTTTTCCCCCTGACTTGAGCTAGAGCATTTGGACCCTGTGTTGCCATATCTCTGTACTTTAGCCTGAACTTGGATGTGGGAATAATTCAGGTTATTCAGGGTTCTGGGCCTAAAATAGACAAATAAAACTCAAACCCGGCAGTATAGAGATAGTGCGAAGTCCTGGAGCACATGTGCATGCAGGAAGCCTGGGTTTAGAACCCAGAACTCATAGTTTCCTGGGTGTCACTGGGAGGGGTGGGGGGTGGGTTCCAAACGATGAATTGTGAGGAACCCAGAGTGCTGCTAGGTGTGGCTAAAAGCAAAACCAAAAATCTTGCAAGGGGATTCACGTTGACATGAGAAGTCCTCTATGCTGATCCTTAGTTGTTTTTTGGCTTTGGTTTGTTTTGGGGCGACACCTGGCAATTCTCAGGGTTACTCCTTGCTTTGCATGTAAGAATTACTCCTGGCAGTGCTCAGGAACCATATAGGATTCTGGGGATGGAACCCGAGTTGGCCTTAGGCAAAGCAAACGCCCTACCCACTGGACTATCTCTGCAGATCCTGATGCTCAGGTTTTAGAATGGTTTACCCCTAGAAGAAAGCATGGCGAATAGCACCATTGTGTGATAACCATGCTTTAAAGGAACAAACCCCAGAAAGTGGGGGTTTCCCTCTCTGAGGATGGAGCACAACCCGGAGTGAGATGGAGGTCTAAGAGCATTACCGGAAAGGAACCTCAAAACAGTCCTATTGCTGAGAATAGTCAGGGCTTCCTCCTGTCTGTCTTCAGGTGCTTGACCCCTGCTGGTGCCCAACAGAGCTGGTGGTGAAGGGGGAGCATAAGGAGTTCCCGCTGCCCCCAGCCCCAAACAAGGAATTCAATTTTACCAATGGACCTGGCATGACTTATGAGGCCAAGCATGTCCGGGAGTGCCTGCGCAAGGGTAAGGAGGTGGAGTTTGGGAGTGGGAGGGTGTTAGGGTAAACCTGGCAAAGGGCTGTCTGGGTGCCCCTCCCCCCAACCTGCCCAAGCAGCAGATTGGAACTATAACTCCCAAAATACCTCGGGGCATCCATCAACCTGAAACACTATTGTGCCTCAAGGGATTCTGGGGTGTGTAGATTTTGGTGTAATTGGGATGTGAGCAGACAGGCCCCTAATTGCACTTTCCTCCAGGCCTGAAGGAAAGCCCCATAGTTCCACTGGCTGAAAGTGAGCTCCTGGCTGAAATACTTGAGGAAGTGAGGAAGGCCATTGGAGTCACCTTCCCCCAAGACAAACGCTGATGTTTTAATTCCTGAATCAATAAAAAACTTGATTTGCATGGCTATCTTGTAGTTCTGATTTGTCTACTCTGGAGAGAATAACGCAGTAGCTGGAGAATAAATTTTGTAGAAGAAGTGGGGTGGGAGGGAGGGGAGGATGGGTTCTGTCCACAGCTTCTTGGAACAAGTTCCTGGAACCTGTGATAGGGTCATAGTATGTTGCCACAGACTGTGTAACATGGGCAGGGAGTAGTGACACAGGAGGAGTCCTGACAGCTCTCTACCCAGATCTCTCATTGTCTTTGTTTCCTCAGTGATGAAAGATAGCAATCTCTGGAGATATTAGAAAATGAACAGGAAGCGACCAAAAAGATTAGGAAAGGGCCAAACCTTTGATGGAACAGGAGACACACCTTAATTTGTATGTGTGATCTGATTGGTCCTGTTAAGAACCTAGTCTGCATAAGGTCTGATGAGCTTCTCTACCACGACCTTAAGACATGTGAGATCTGATTGGTCATCTTATAATCGCAACACCCTCACACACGTAACAGGATTGGTTGTTCCAGTCAATGACTTCATCTGGTGTAACCAATCAAATAGCAGAAAGAAGGGGTAGGGAATAAGGAGGTAAAGTAAGATATGTAAATACACTTCCCCCACCCTCAAATCTCTTCCTGGTGGGTTCAGTTTACCTAGGTACTCAATATTAATCTGTTGGATAAGCTAACAAACACTTAACTCTAGTGGTCAAAGTGATACTCTTATACCTGCCTCAGGAAAATGCGATAAGCCCCAGCTTTATCAGTGAATATGGCAAATGAACAGCCCTGACTACCCAGTATAATTTTATTTTTTGTTTTCATGCCACGCCTGGTAATGCTTATGGCTTACTCCTGGCTCTACACTCAGAGGTCACTCCTAGTGGGTTTGGGAGACCATATGGGGTGCAGGGATTGAACCAGGGTTTGATATGTGCAAGGCAAGAGCTTTATCCCTTCACTTTATCCACTGCATTATCTCTCCAGCCCCCATACAGAGGCGTTTCTTAGGAAGGAAGGCATTTAACTTCACTAGTATTTTTTGGTTTTAATGTTCAATTGCGACCAATTACCCCAAAGTGTAATTGGGATAGAACATTCCTGGACAGTTTCCTAGCACCTTAAAAGGTACTATTTGAGATCTATGGCCAATTAAGGTGAAGTGTGCCCCAGCAAAATTATACTCATAGATTTTGTTTTAGTAATAAGTATAGATTAGGTTACAACACAGTAATAAATCCAAATTCTCAGTTTACGTAACAAGTTTTCTTTTTATTTATTTTTTTGTGGGGGGACCACACCCAGCTATGTTCAGGAATTACTCTTGGCTTTGAACTCAGGAATCACTCCTATTAGGTTCTGGGGCCATCTGGGATTCTAGTTCTCTAACCTGGGGTCAGCTAGCTGCCTGCAAGGCAAGTGCCCTAACCGCTGTACTATCCCTCCGACCCCTTATTTTATTTTATTTTTTTCTGCAAAAGTTCTGTTTGGTCCAGGAGGTGAGCAGTTGTTCAGAGCAGAAGGGGCACTCAAGCTAAGACCTTCACACTAGGGGAATGATATGAACAAACAAATGCCACTGCAGTAAAAGGGACTCCCAGTTTCCTTGACCATGAGCACTGTCTGTAGCACTGTCCTCCCATTGTTCATCAATTTGCTCGAGTGGGCACCAGTAATGTCTCCATTATGAGATTTGTTGTTACTGTTCTTGGCATATCGAATACATCACAGGGAGCTTGCCAGGCTCTGCCATGCAGGCAGGATACTCTCGGTAGCTTGCTGGGCTCTCCAAGAGGGACAAAGGAATCGAACCCGGCTCAGCCATGTGCAAGGCAAACACCCCACCCGCTGTGCTATCGCTCCAGCCCATGAGATTTTGACCATGAGGTTTTCTTTTTCCTTTCCTTTTATTTTTTTTTGGGGGGAGTGGAGTGTTGTTCACACCTGGCGGTGCTCAAGGCTTATTCCTACTTGTGTGCTCAGGAATCACTCCTGGTGGGGCTTTGGGGCCCTTTCTGGTGCTGGGCATCAAACCATGGTCAGACTCGTACAATGACAAATGCCCTAACCATTGTACTATCTCTCCAGCCCCAGAATGAGCTATTTAAGACTTGATCACCCAGGGCTGCCTGGGGACCCAATATCCTTGATGAGTCTGCACAGAATAGTTAGCTGGTCCTGTGTCTTCTGGATGAGCTTCACCTCCTTATCTAGGAAATGTCTCAGGAAGTAACAGAGCCGAAAAAAGGAAGGAAATGGCTTTCACTTAGCAATAGGGCCATGTGGAAACCAGGTTCAGGACAAATTTTTCCCAAAGCTAAGAGCCATCCCAGGGAAGTCTCAGGAGCGGGATTCATAGATGAGGGTGGGGGTGTTGGGGGTGTTTTCTTTTTATTTCCTTTTTTTAAAAAAATTATTTTATTTTTATAAAATTGTTCACAATAATTGATTACATTTAATATTTGAACCCCAATCCCACCATCATTACACCTTCCCACAATCATATCTCGAATGTTTCCATTCCAACCCCCAAACCCTGTCTCCATAGCAGAACTGAAGTAATTTATTTTGTATTGCTTGTTATGAATAATCCTCTAAAAATGATCCAGAAAAATTTTTCTTAGAGGAAAGTGTGTGAAGATTGTTGTATTTCACCCAGGAGCCATTAAGCCCTTCTATAAGAGATTAATAACATGTTGTTAAAGGTGGATTCTTATGTATTATATATATATACACACACACATATATATGTATAAATGTAGTTCCCCGCCAAGATTGGTTGCCTTTTGCTTTTTTTTTTTTTTTTTTTGCTTTTTGGGTCATACCTGGCAATGCACAGGGGTTACTCCTGGCTTTGCACTCAGGAATTACTCCTGGCGGTGCTCAGGAGACCATATGGGATGCTGGGATTCAAACCTGGGTCGGCCTCATGCAAGGCAAACACCCTACCTGCTGTGCTATCACTCCAGCCCAGGTTGCCTTCTACTTTAAACCCCGTCAAATGTGTTGTGCTATTCCTGGTATATCAGTGGTGTAAAGTATGAGATGTCTAGGAATAGATTCACTCATCGGTGAGGCTCATCCAAGTGTGTGGAGAGCGGCCATGAGCATGGTGGTGACTGAATTCTGGAGGTTTTCAATTGCTGGAGCTGATTCTGTTGGGGCAGGGAGGGGAACTCACCCACCTCGCTCCGGGTTGCCCTGCATGAAAGAGCCTGGGGCAGGGTCTAGAGACATGTCTATGGCTTATCGTTATGTGCTCTCTTCTGAGAGATTTATTGTTGAGTCTCTGGATCATAGCCATTGATGAGATTATTATAGCACCAAAAACAGTTTGTGGGCATGACTGCTAAGCTGCCTGAAACAGAGAGACATGGGGGCAGGTTACCCGTTCCTAACTCCATGGAGCCTGGAGATTTTAGTCACAAGTCCTGCATACCTGGGCTTTTCTACAGATTCATTAATTGGTGAGCTGGTCCGAGTTTGTGGGGATAGGCTGTGAGCATGGCAGTGATTGAGTTCTGGAGATTTTCGGCTGCCAGGGCTGGTTCCTTTGGGGTGGGGAGTGGAAGTCACCCACTTGGTTGGGAGTGTTTTCTTACATGGGGTTCTTTGCTGGACATCCCCAGAGCATGCAGCTCCATAAGGGCCTGGTTGAGGTCCTTCTCCAAGTCCAGGGTGGCTTTCATGCCCTCCAGGACTACCCCCTCATTTTGGACATACTGACAGATATTCTAAAGACTGTATAACCTCCAGATTGCTTTTGATATAGGCAAATAGCTAGGAAAGGGCCCCATAGCAATGGAATTCCTAGGAAGTAATAAAACCAATATCCCAAGGCCATAAGGAGCTCAAGAGCCTGATAAGACTTCACTTGGGTGCCAGGAGACCCAGACAAGGCTGACACCCCCTCAGAGACACATTCCAGCTGGAACAAAGACCAGGGAAAGGAATTTAAAGAGAACCATGGACCACTCCCAACTCTTGGCGCCCTTGGCAACCACCCTAGCAATGGATTCTTACCTAACTAGAAAGCCCAACGTGGGGTAGCTTGGGAAAAAAATACATAAAAGCTGACTTGAACACAGGAAGCATGCGCATATGCTGCCTGAGCCCATGTGCTGCTTGTGTCCATGTAGCTAAGCATAGGTGGTGTCTGAGGACATGTGTTGTCCACATCCCCCCTCCTTTTTTTAAAAAAAAATGTAGAAATAGCTTTTTCCCTCTGGAAAGAAAGATGGCAGCCGCCTTGGAGCTTTTTGGAAAGCCAGGTATGAGCCGGTCATGATGGGGCGACTGAAACCTCATGGGAAGTGGGGTGTTCCCAGCTCGTCCTTTACGTCCTACCGAGGTCACGAGTTGCCCCCCACGAGCAGCTCTCTGGCACGACCATGGCTCCAGAAGCACAAGGACTTAATGCAGAGCCCGGCAGCTTGCGGCAGAAAAGTGAATGGACTATGCGTTAATCGCCACCATGCCTGCCCGGAGGGGAAAGGGTGTTGCTCCCTTCTGCCTTTTTCCCTCTGAAAAGAAAGATGGCAGCCGCCTAAGAGCTTTATGGAAAGCCAGGTATGAGCCGGTCGTGACGGGGCAACTGAAACCTCATGGGAAGTGGGGAGTTCCCAGCTCGTCCTTCACCCCTACCGAGGTCACGAGTTGCCCCCCACAAGTGGCTCTCTCGCACAGCCATGGCTCCAGAGCCACAGAAAACAATTTCATAATTATCTGACTCTAAGCAGAAATACTTCCAGGCTTAATAAGTAAAATACCAGAAATCCAAAATCGCACGGCCGCTATTAAGGCTGCGCCACATCATTTGATTCTTGTAACCAGCTGTAGAAAACAAATTATTTCACAATGCCTTTTCAGCATGTCTGATTTGGGGGTGTAAACTCTAAACAATAATGGTGCATCTTTTGTCGAAACAATGAATCTAATCAAAGTAGATAGAGTGTTAACTAGAATTCATCTGCCTCACAGGCATTGGGAGGGTTGGGAGGGGGGCTTTATTGGGGTTCTTGG